TTTGCTTCTATAAACAATGCTGCAGCCCTGGTCAGTTTGGCTCGGCGGTTAGAGCGTCACCCTGCGGTCTGGAGAGACCGGGTTCAGTTCCTGCTAAGGGCACGTGCCTCTGTTGCAGTTTGTCCCAGGCCCTGGTTGGGTCGTGTGGGTGGCGACCACTCGATGTGTCCCTTTCACATTGATGTTTCTCTCTCTCTTTCTCTCCCCCCTCTCACCCACTCTATCTGAACAAAACATCGAAAAATGTCCTCGGGTGAGGATAAAAACAAACAAACAAAAAAACAATGCTGCAATGAATAACTTCGTGCATAATATCTGTCCTCGTATAGCTGCACATACGAAGTATAGTAAATGTCCACTGAAACACCATTGTTTATATTGGTTCAAGGTGAAGAGCTTATGCAGATAGGCTGTATAGTACATGTCCACTGAAACACCATTGTTTACTTTGGTTCAAGGTTAAGAGCTTATGCAGATACGGCAGCAAGGATCTGGCTTTCATGAGTAAAAAGTACCTCAAAGAGAGAGTGTTTCTAGGTCAGACCTCTGCTTTCAGAATCCAGTCTCCATTTAGTCCTTGTGCACAGCTAGAGTGTGGGGACCACCAAGCTCCAAAGACAGGGATGCATAAATAAGTCTTAGATTTCTTTGTTGCATCCTTTCATATTTTTTCCATCTTTCACAACGTGATATATTTGTAACTGTAGTCTCCCACACTAGGTCATAAACTAGTCTAGTGGGTAGCAGTGAACAAGACAGATGAATGACTGGTTCTTATGGAACTATTTTTATTTTTACCTTTATAGGAGTTGTATGTGTGTGTCAGGATTCAATGAAATAATGGAGGTCAAGTTATCAGCAAAGCAGTTAGTTGATATTTTAAAATGTTTTTATATGGATACCCATACATAATACACGTGTACGTAGGTAAACGCTGTGTTGGAAGATTGATAATCAGTCTTGCTTGATACTCCCTGCCCCATACTTCCTCTTGAAGAGCTCACACTTAACCTCCAAGCTCGTCGACGCCTTGGTTTCCTCCAAGCGCTACTAGCCGAGGGCGGTGCGCCGCCAGCAGGGGGCAGGAATGAACCAGGCGTGCCTATTACCAAAGCAACAGAGTCAAACAGCATTCTCAGAATGACTTTACAAGAGGGCTCCGAAGAAGTAAGTGATCTGTTTGTCCCGTGGTCGGTCTCACAATAGTCGTAGTATAAGGAAGTGAGAGGCGGTAGCGACAGACCTATTCTGCAGCAATCACTAACCCGAGCAACAGTTTGTCGGGTTATCGGGTGCGTGCGTGGAAAGAAGCGGGGTGATGGCGCTCGCCCGCAGGATATGGTGACGCGTGGACTGCCAAGGGCTCCGAGCTCCCCGGGCTTCACATGGAATAAAGGGCTCTGCAGGAGCACTGCCTACCGAACAGTTCCCAGGGCTGAGCAGGGAGCTGGAGAGCTTTCCGAAGTGACAGAGGGCACCAGGGCACTACTCCGCTGAAGCCGGGCGCCCAAAGGATTTGAAAACAGTTTGGGGCCCCTCCTAGGCCGACTTTGAAAGCAGGTGTGGAACGCATGCGCCCGGCCCACCCGCCGACCGGCTTGTGGCACCGGAACGGACCTTCTTCCCGGCAGGCGGCGGTGTAGACGGGAGGGGAACGGCATTCTCGCGAGGCCTTCGGAGCGTCGGCGGAAGCAGTGGGCACGTGACTGTCCTCAGCGGCCTTCGGCCTCCCCCTCCCCCCCTCCCCGGAAACCCGGCCCCCTCAGCCCTCGCCCGCCCCGGAGTCGCGGTATTGGGCCGTTTGGGTTTCGGAATTCCCTTGGATCCAGCCACTGGTACCGGGTCGGCGGGGGCCGGCGGAGCCCGTGCTTGGCGGCGAAGGCAGGGGGCGGTCAAGATGGGGGGGCGGAATCATCTTCCTCCACCTAGGAGGGAGGCGGGGCGGAGAGCGGCGCTGGAGAGCGAGGTGGGGGAGGGAGGAAGTCACGTGGGGCGCGCGGCGCGCGCGGCGCCTCCTCCGTCGCCCCGCCCCCTCCCCTCCCGGCGGGGCGGGGGGGCGAGGGGGAGGGGCGTTAAGATGGCGGCGGGGAGGTAGGCAGAGCCAGACGCCGCCGCCGCCGCCTGTGGGTCTTCACGCTCTCGCCGCCCGGGGGAAGCTGTACCGGCGCCGCACCCCGCGGAGGAAGTAAGTCCCGCCCCGGACCCCCTTCAGCGCCGACGCCCGCTCTCGCGGACAGCCGCCCACTCCCGCCGTGCTCGGGGGGCGGTGTGGGGCCGGGCTGGGGGCGCCACCTCAGCCGCGTTTGGGGCCTCCGTCGCCGGCCCTGGGCTGCTCGTCGCGCGGCCCTCGTGGGCACGGTCCCCGCGGCGGCCCCTCCGCGCTCGCTTCCTCCGCCCGTCAGCGCCCGGCCCTGCGGGCGCCGCGCGTGGGGTTGTCGGGCCCCGGGGCCCCGCTGTCCCGGGCCGGAGGCACCCGCTCCGCGCCGGGGGGCCGGGTGTGCGGACGCCGGCTCCCGTGAGCCCCCCGTTCCACGGCCGCGCTGCGAGGTCCCGGACCCGCAGGAAAGTGAGCTCCGCGAGCCTCCAGAAGTCCTCTTGCCGGAGGGTCGCGCGGGTTTAGGGCGAGTGCGGGAGACGGGGTGTCCCCGAGCTGCACCCCGCAGCCGCGGCTGCTGCCTGCCTCGCTCTCGGGGCTGCGGGGACGGCGCGAGGGCACGTGGGGACCACCCTCGCCTCCCCGGGTCCTGCGGTGGATTCTGCGTCCCTCCCGCGCGCCCGCCCAGACCCTGCGCATCAGCTGGCGGGGAAGCGGTTGGGGAATTTGCCTACTTTGAGAGTGTTTGTCGGAACTGGACCCCGAAGTTCCCCGAGCCGGCGCGTGCGGGTGGTTTCCCAGGGGCGTGTGGGGCCGGAGCCGCGCGGAGATGGGGATGTTCCTGCGCTGGCGATTGTTTCTTTGCTGACCCTGGCGTCCAGCTCCTCCCCTTCCCACCCGGCTTTGTGCTGCTGTTTGTTAGTGTTTGCGGACCGCTAACTTGATCCTCACACAGAGAAGCTCTTTCTGTGCGTGCTCCTCGGACTGTGGGAGGCTTTTGTTTTGGGGAACCGCTGGGGGGGGGGGGTGAGAAACGTGGGGAAAGAACGGGCGAGGAAACGAGAGTCGAGCAGAGCAACGTTTTTTAATCCATTGAATTGCGCAGCCAATTGTAACCGCACCCGGAAGTTTGTACTGAACACGTGTTGATGAGGGGAGATTGAAAACTGGGTCCCCTTTGACCTGGAAAGTTGGTCATGGCAGTTTGTGTCGAGTTGAATGTTTCGTGTGCCCTCGACAACCAGAACTAGAGGCGGAATGGGGCTTCTGACGCCCGGCCAGGGCGGCGGGACACTGTCAGAGCCGGGGTGGCACTGGCGCAGACGGCTGAACGCTCGCGAACGCTCCGACCTGCGACCGTGCGGAGCGATTCCATTTCCCCCGGCTACTTACGACAGTCGGCGCTGGTGGCTTGCAAGCTGTGGGGAAACCATCGTTGCCCAAAAGACAGTTCAGAACTTCTAGGATAAAATGCAGCATTTGCTACTAGCGCCTGGAGTGGGACATTCCTTTTGCCAGCAGAGGAGCATTTTATTTTGATGCTAAAAGAGGTTTCCGAATTTGACCTTACCAGAGAAGACATCTTTTTCTCGCGTTTCTGCTTTTTATCTCCCTGTTTAACTTTATGCCACTTAATTGTTTTCAGAATTTTAAATGTTTTATGTTAGGTGCTAGGTAAGTGTTAAAAGGGAGGCTTAGTGACTTAGAGTTTATTCATCATTCATTTAATGCTGTTATGTTACACTACTTTACATGTTTTAAAAGCTTCGCTTAAATTACTACTTAAAATCAGGTGTGGGCAATATTAGACCTGGCCAGGTAGGGTTCTTCAGTTGGTTAGTGTCATTTTGATACTCCTAGGTTGCTGGTTCAGTCCCAGGTCAGGGCACGTAAAAAAAATCAGATAATGAATGCAGAAGTGGAACAACAATGATTCTGTTTCTCTGTCACTAATCAATAAGTGAAACTTTAAAAAAGAAACAGGCATTGTGGAGACTTTTGACATGCTTTCATAAAAATTAATTTATTTTTGAGAGGAAGGGGAGCCACCTCCTGAGTGACCTCTTGGTGCATGTGTTGATTCTCAACCACTGAGCCATTTAAAAAAATTTGTTGATATCAGAGTGAGAAAGAGACATAGATTTTTTTTCACTCTCCTTATTTATGCATTCATTGTTTGCTACTTGTATGTGCTAGAGGTTGAACCTCCCACCTTGACTGGCACTCTAACCAACTGAACTAACCCGCAAGAGCTTTACTTGCTTTTTCAAATGATTTGACTCAAACATTTTAGGTACAGATATATTTTGTCCCCCCCCCCCCTTTGGTGAGGGGGAGAGAGAGAGAGAAAACACCAATGGAGAGAAACATAGATCAGCTGCCTCCTGCATGCCCCCTACTCGGGATGGAACCAGCAACCGGGCATGTGCCCTGAGTTCGTATCAAACCGTGACTTCTCTGTCCATGCATGGGACGGGATGGTGCTCAGTCTACTGAGCCACACCGGCCGGGCCATTTTGGCCTTTCTTAGTCTCTGAGCTGAGCTTTGATTTCAGTCCTGCCACCTGTGAAGGAAGGACATGAACACTCAGATCTGAGCAATAGGACTTTTCATGAGCCTCTGTGGTTTCCTATGCTTTGCCTGCTTCAAGTAAAGATACTTTCTGAGAGGAATTGCTTTCATATTAGTAAACAAAATGGTGTAAGGTTTTTGCAGTGTTCTTTGATTTTGCAATGGAGTTGACAGAAGCCCTTTGATGTGGATGAATTTAAGTATTAAGGACCATCTTGGGACAGCACTGAAATTTTCTGTTGATAAAAAAATATAGGATCTTTAAGAGCAGAAACTAGTCTATGAATAAGATAGGGTATAAAACCCATCAAATTAACTTGCTCAATTATTTTTTTGGAGGCAGTATATATAGCACAGAGCATTGACGACCCTCCCCCCCCAACCTTTTTACTGCATATCATGGTAAGAAACATGTTTTACATTGTGACCTAGTACATACATACACACAGAACTGAAAAACTCGGTTTATGAAATGTTTTCTTTCTCTACATGGTGTGCGCTAATTTTCTGTTCTGTGCTGAAATGTGTAAAACTGCTGGTCGTGGTGCACTAAGTTGATTGGCAGCCCATTGTGTTGTGGTCAGCAGTTTGAAAAATAACTGGTATAGGGTTAAGAGGACAGAATCTTGGAGGTACATGGTGTCAGACCTCCTGGGTTTTAATTTATTTTTGTTGATTATGTGTAATACACTTTTCTATTTTGTACTTGTATATGTAATTTGAAGTTTTTATTAATTTATTTTTGTTACATATGTTTTTCCTTTTTACCCCCTAGACACCCTCCTCAGTCCCCACCTCCTGGGTTTTTAATTCTGCCCACTGGTTTTGTTTTTACCTTGTTACAGTTCCTCTGGGCCTCAGTTTCTCATCTGTGAAAAGGGGGTAGTTAGGTAGCACTTACTCATGTGCTGTTTTGAAGGTTAAAAGAAGAAAAATTCAACTAAATACTAAATCTCAAGAAAGCTAGCCATGTGCGTTGTGATGGCAGGTGATCAACTAAGTTGCTTCATTTACCCCACCTGATTCTTATGTTTCTTTTGTGAATCATTTTTGAAACTTTGTTTTTCTCTCTTGCTTTCTTGAGAGAGAGAGAGAGAGAGATGGATGGATGGATGGATGAGGGGGAAGGAGGGGAGAGCAGGGAAAAACTGCAATTTGCAGAAATTGCCATTCAGATGATGCTCTAACCCACTGAGGAAGGGCACCAGGGTTTGAAACTTTGTTTATAATCCACAGATTCCTCTCTGAATCCTTTCTTCTTAAGGCTTTTGCAGTGAGAATGGGGAAGGTATGCTTTTACTGAGCATTTGCTCCCTTGAGAATTAATGTTTAAAAAGAACAAATGAGCCCGGCCCACGTGACTCAGTGGTTGAGGGGTTGAGCCTCCACCCATGCACCCAGAGGTCGCTGGTTTGATTCCCAGTTATGGCACATGCCCAGGTTGTGGGCCAAATCCCCAGTTGGGGGGCCAGCAGGAGGTGGTCAATCTATGTTCTCTCTCATGGATGTTTCTATCTCCCTCTCCCTTCCTCTCTCTAAAATCAATAAAGAAAAAAAAAATACAAGTGGAACCTTGGTTGGTTTGGCTCAGCAGTTAGAGTGTTGGCCCGCTGACCAAAGTGTCTCGGGTTCAGTTCTGGCCAAGGGCACATACCCCTGTTGCAGTTTGTTCCCAGCACTGGTTGGGGTGGTGGGGGAGGCAACCAATCAGTGTGTCCTTCTCACATCATTGTTTCTTTCTTTTTCTCCTCCCTTCTCTCCCTCCCTCCTCCCTCTCTCTGCCTCCCACTCTATGTGAAGATATTTGAGAAAATATGCTCAAGTGAGGATAAAAAATAATAATAATTAATAAATAAGAACTACAAATGAGCTTGACCGGCTTAGCTCATCAGTTAGAGCATTGGTCTGAGGACTGAAGGGTCTCCTGTTAGATTTATGGTCAAGGGTATGTATCTGGTTTGCAAGTTTCGTCCCAGACCCTTGGTCTGGTGGTGGAGGAGGAAATCAATCAATGTGTCTCACATCAATGTTTCCCTCCCACTTAAAAAATATACTCTGGATAGGATTAACAAAGGAAAACAAATGATATTCTTTTAGGTAAAGAAAATCCTCTTTAATGAACTTTATATCGACCTTTTTTCTTCTTGTGTTCTCAGTGAACCAGCACTCAGTAGACAGTACTTGTTTGTTTTTTGTGTTTTTTATTAATCCTCACCCAAGGATATTCTTTTATTTATTTTTCAATGGCATGGGAGTAGGGGAGGGAGAGAGTGGGGTGGAGGCATCGATGTGTGAGAGGCACATTGGTTCATTGTCTCCTGGACCAGATCTGGACCAGGACTGGGATGGAACCCGCAACCCAGATACGTGGCCTTGACTGGGAATTGAACCCAGGACCCTTTGGTCTTGGGCTGATGATCTAACCACTGAACCAAACCGCCAGAGGTTAAATACTTGATGTACTGTATCAGCGAAATTTAGTGGATTATTCTTCTTCAAATTCTTAAACTCTGTCAGTCATCACATCTGGGCTGCGTAAAAGACAAATTGAAGCTGAATCAAAAATCAGACGTGCTTAGCACTATTAAATAAGGAGAAAAACCTTTTTAGTAGTTTTGGCAGAGATACTTGCTAGGTGATATTTTTTGTGTACATTTAAGAGCATACATCAGTGTCCCCAAGATGCTAACTGATTAACTGGATAAACTGGATGTATGATCCTTTAAGTAAAAGGGGAACTAGTATTTTATAGAATACATTTGGAATTAATTATTGAATAGATTATCAACAGATAGTTTGTATTTTGGGATATAAAGTGTTGCATCAGAAATATGGAGGAAGATATTTTTTGGACATGATACTAATATCAAAATGATAGTGTCTAACATTTATTTCAGGTAGTACAGCAATCTTATGAGGTAGGTTCTATTGTATTTCCATTTGAAGATGAGGAAACTTAGTCATAGATATTACTTGACTGTTTTATACTACTATTGGGTGATGTAGCCAGTGTTTGAACCCAGATACTCTACTTAACTACATCATCTTCTCAACCTTTGTTGTGGCTGCTGCCACTGCAGACACATCCTTGGGATCTGGCCAGAGCTTCAAGCTATAAAGATCAGTTTTAGGTCTCAATAAGAGAAACCTTGTCCTTGTTGATAGGTTTCAGTGTTGGTATTCTCAGTGGGAGTAGTATCCTTTAATTCTTCAGATTGGCTGTTGTTTGCTTGGGATTCTTTTCCTACCAAGGATGGCTCTTAGTTTCTCTCTTCTGTCTTTGTTTCTTATGTATCATTATTGTTTTTATAGTGTACTATTTTGTAATAGGTGGTTATTTTCAAATGCATCTATGGTAATAATGGAGCCATTATTTATTTTTTTATCCTCATTGAGGACATTTTTGCATTTATCTTTAGATAGAGCAGGAGGGAGACAGGGAGAGAAACATCGATGTGAGAGACTCAGACTGGTCGCCACTCACACGACCCCAACCGGGGCCGGGAACAAACTACAACCGATGTACGTGCCCCTGTGCCCCTACCAGAAACCGAACCAGTCCAGGGCTGACACTCTAACTGCTGAGCAAAACCGCAGGAGCTGTTTTTTTTATCCATTGAGATAGAATCACTGCTGTTAGTAACTTTGGGGATTGTTAGATTGCTACATGTTGAATGTCATCTGAGGACTATGAAATCTTATGTAGACACATTGTAACAACGTTCTCTTACTCCTAACAGTATTTGCATTTTTATTGTACTTAGTGGGTTCAAAGTGAAAATATTGTTTTCCCTCTCAGGAGTAAATCCTACTTATTAGTAAAGTGAGGAGAAGGTTGGATAATATACCTTTTAAGGGCTTTCAGCTGAGCACTGAAATTCCATGAGTCTGTAAAAGTTTCAGAATAAGAATATGATTAAATATTAAGGGTTTTGTCTAATGAAGTTAGAGAATAGCACAGGAGTTTCTTCTCTATCCTTTTTTCTCCTCCTCTGCAAAAAAAAAAAAAGTACCTAGTTGGCTAACAGAAAGTTTCCCTAGATTTATTTGCTTGTGTATAAAATGTATATAAAGTTAAAGTGGCTTTTATAAATAGCTTGTAAAAGAAAATGTTATTTAGAGACATTATCAATACCAGGTTACTACTCAAATCAGAGGTGTCTAATTGTCGTTCCTATGAATGAATTTTGAGTAGGTCACTGAATTGTTGCCATCATTTCTTGTCTGAACACCAACAAGTTTCTCCCCAAAAGCTTTCCCTTCCATGAGTTAATGATGTTTCTGTACTTTTCAGTATAAATAGACAAGGCTTGATGTGCATCTGATGGATTAATGGGTCCTGTGACCTCGAAGGGTTGTCTGGTCTTGGTTTAGGAATCACTGGTTAAAACAACGTGCTTTTGTTTCTAATGTAAGTAAACTCTCTCCAGTATTTACTTTTATTTAAAAATTTTTTTTCTTATTGATTTTAGAGAGGAATAGAGAAGGAGAGAAAGACAGAGAGAGAGACATCATTGAGAAAGAACATCCATTGGCTGTCTCCTGCATGCCCTACTGGGGATCTAGCCCACAACCTGGGCATGTGCCCTGACCGGGAATTGAACTGGTGACCTCTTGGTGCATCGGTCAACGCTCAACCACTGAGCCACACTGGCTGGGCTCCAGTATTTACTTTTAAAATACGACATTTTGATAGTTTCAAGTTCTATTAATTTAGGTCAAAATTAGCCATAGCAAGTGGGCCAAGACTTCTTTTTCCCACAGGTCCTAATGAAGATTTTTATGGATTGAAAATGTTTTCTAAAGCATTGGTTTAGCTCTGTTGGTACATATTTGTACTGTGTACCAGGACAATTTGTAAAGTATGGTCAATTATGTCCATATCAGAAAAATGGAGCAGCTTGGCCCATAAACTGAGAGTTCCTGGTTTGATTACCACTCAGGGCACATGCCTGGGGTTTTGAGCTCAATCCCCAGTAAGGGGGTTGCAGGAGGCAGCTGATCGATTTGTGTCTCTTCTCTCTTCCTTCCTCTTTTGCTGAAATAAAAATTCCCTCCTTCAAAATATTTAGAAAAAAAGAAAAACAGACCAACTTTATTTTAAATGCATGTTGGGACATTTCTGCTGTTTGTCTCTGACATTTAGTTCCTTCATACTATTTTCATCTTGTTGCCTAGTACTCCATCCCCTTCCAATTTTAAGTTAAGTGTTGAAATGTTAGGGTTACCAACATTGACTTTTTGATCTAGTCATTGAAAAGAGAATAAATGGGCTTTAAAGATCCAGATGTGAGTGGGTGATATTGACCAGGTAATTTAAGCTTTTTGAGCCACAGTTTCATTTTGCTTAGAGTTGTGGGCTTGTGATGTGTATGAAGAGCCTAACACTGTCAGACATGTAAAATGTACTCAGTTATTGTCAAATTGTTTTTATTTTTTTAATATACACTGGCCAGGGCTGGGCTCAACCTTTTTTTTTTTCTGTTTTTACCCGAGGACATTTTTCCGTTTTTTGTTCAGATAGAGTGGGGGAGAGAGAGAGAGAGAGAGAGAGAGAGAAACATCAATGTGAAAGGGACACATTGAATGACTGCCACCCACACGACCAACCAGGGCTGGGGACAAACTGCAACCAAGGTACGCGCCCTTAGCGGGAACCGAACCTGGGTCTCTGTGGACTGCAGGCCAACGCTCTAACCGCTGAGCAAAACCGGCCAGGGCCGGGCTCAACCTTTGATTATTTTCTCTTGTCTTAACTCTAATCGTTCATCAATTCATCCTCGCCCCCTTCCCTATGCCCATGCCCGTGGTCTCCCTTCCATTTCGGACTTTTATTTAAACCTGGTCCTGAGGATTCTCCTTCCTAAATACCTTGGAATCCATTCCTCCTTCTCTGTCTTTATACCCTGCTATTGTAGTACATGGACTCTCTCCTGGTGGCTGTGGCAGTTTCGTATGGCTCCTCCCTGCTTTTGATCTTAAAGGGTGACAACGGCTTTCATGCCTCTGTGGGTTTGAAGACACTGTCTAGAAGATTCTTGCCCACCTAGTGATTTCTTCCTTGACACTCAACTTCATTGTTGTCTTCATAACCTCTCTCCCTAGGCAAAAGTCCAGCATTTCCTTCGGTTCCCACAGCATTTTGTAGACATACTCTTGCTGTGATTTACATACTTTGCTGTCTTTTTATCTTAATTTTAATTTTTGAATTTGTGGGGATCAGAGACTATTCCTTTTTGCCTGACATGCTGCAGATTCTTCATAAATATTGAATGAATGGATCTTGTAGAAAATGTTTGTTTATATTTAGAAGAGAATTGTCATTTTAAGTTTTTCACGTTAATGTTTAATATTTTGTTCTAAGGATGGTGGAGCCAGGGCAAGATTTACTGCTTGCTGCTTTGAGTGAGTGTGGAATTAGTCCAAATGACCTCTTTGATATTGATGGTGGAGATGCGGGGCTTGCAACTCCAACACCTACCCCTTCGGTTCACCAGGTAAGAGTTATCCAAAGCCTCTGTAAAAAGTAGGTTTTTTTCTTAATTTAATTCGACTTTAAAAAGTAGGTATTATTAAGCCGTAATTTTAAATATGCATGTGAAGGTTATTTTTATGTTGAGTATTAGTCTTCATTCATGAGGGGGGAAATAATTTGCTATGAAAATCAAGACATTTTTTTGGTTTGCTATCTTTGTATGTAAAATAAGAGATGGATTGATTAGCGTTGTCTGGGAGGATAGTTAATCTTTTTAATAGTTGTCTCTGTGTACTTTATAGAACATTTTTCTGAGGTTTCACTAAATACGTTTTCTGAAAGCAAAAGTAAGATTCTGGTATTACTGTAATTTTGTTAAGCTGTTATGCTTGCAGAGATTGTTTCCTTTTACCTGGCATCTGTGATTTTTACATTCAAATAGAATGTAAAGCTTAACATTTTTTTGTTTTAATGAAATAACTACATCTCTTCTTGAAACGGAATTCACTGAATCATTCTTTGTTTTTCTTGATGTTGTTTTCTGTCCAGTCAGTGCCACTTAGTACGTTAGAACTAGGTTTGGAGACTGAAGCAGCAGTTCCTGTTAAACAAGAACCAGAGACGGCACCTACTCCAGCGCTGCTAAACGTCAGGGTGAGGCTCACTTAGCTCTGGCGTCACTGCTGAAATAGTTGAGGGCTGTGGCAAGAAAGGGGCCTTTCAGGTGGAGCGGTTTTATCTCGCCAGTTCTGCTTGTTATTTTCACTCCCAGCATAGCATGCTGCTCTCACCTCCCACTTTGTCAGTTTCCTTCTTTTTGTAGATATATTGGTCAAAAGATAATTTGGACAAAACATATTTATCTTATTGCAAATGATATAAAATTCATGAAGTAAAAGATAAACTATGTATTATCCCACTGGTATATGTAACTTTTGTGTAATTATCATTGTGCTTTCCTCTGATCTTACCTTACACACAGCAGTTATTAACTTAAGCTTGGTGTAAAATTATTGGAAAATATGGTTAAAATTTGATAACATGATAAATGATTGTTGAGAGTTCTATTTAAAAGTGATAAATAGTATCTGGAAAATTCTTGTTATAGGAGTCATGGAGAGATAACAGTTTGAGGTGGAAAGGAAGTAGCAATGTACTTAAATTTATACAATTATCTCAGTTATGCTTGAGTCAGTCACTTGTAGTCATGGACATACTGTTATCCGTCAAATCTTGACCTTTTTCTTTTTCTTTTTTTTTCTATTTTTGTCCGGCTCTTACTCCTGCCCCATAAAAAATGCTTTATTTTAGGCTGAAAGGTAGCACCCACATTATCCCAATATTTGTAATTTACCTAGTTGGATCATTTGTGTGACAGAGGAATTTAAAGCTCTGGTGGTCTGGTCTTGTTAAGTTTTCCACCTTAGCATAGTCTGTATGATAGCACGCACAGCATTGGACGGGAGTTATAGAACGTTAGTGACGGAGAACGGTCCTCAGAGAACCTGGGCTTCCCGAAGTGATTTACCTACGGTTATCTACTTAGTTGAGACACTGCTGGGATTGTGCATTCTTTCTGTTCTATTTCTTGTGTTATACAGGTTTACTGTACAGGTTTACTTGTGTTATTACAGCTTCCTTAGGAGAGTTCCATTTTGTGTTGGCTCTCTTTGACAATTATATAAAATGTCACACTGCTACTGTACCTTCTTATTCTCAAAATGGTGTGTTTTGGTTTGGTAGTTGATTGTAATCATATTTAATTAAAAATGAAGTGCCAGTGGTTAGGTAAGAATAACAGTCAATTCTAGATGTTAAATGGCCTACTGTGTTTATGATAGAGGCTACATTAGAGAAGAAAGCATTTTCCAGTGACGTGATATATATGGTTTTCTTTTCTAGCAACAGCCTCCATCGACCACAACATTTGTGCTGAATCAAATAAATCAACTTCCGACTTTGGGATCTACAATTGTAATGACTAAAACACCACCTGTAACAACAAACAGGCAAACCATCACTTTAACAAAGTTTATCCAGACCACTGCAAACACACGCCCCACGGTCTCAGCACCAGTAGTACGGAATGCCATGACCCCCGCGCCTTCAAAGGACCAGGTTCAACTGAAGGACCTTCTGAAAAATAATAGTCTGAATGAACTCATGAAGTTAAAGCCACCGGCCAATATTGCACAGCCAGTCGCAACAGCAGCTAGTAAGTCTTCCTGTTTTCAGTGCTGTCAGTGGTTTGCCTTTGCTAAGATGTATCAGTGTCTTTTTAAGGATTTGCTTGGGTCTTAAAAGAATTGGATGTGAAAGCGCTAATAACTTTATGACTCTGTACTCTTAAAATATTTATACAGTTCAAGAGAAGCAAAAATTTAGAATCCTTGTCATTTAGTTTTGAAATGCAGTGTGGAATTACCAAGTGACTTCATTGAAGTTATGAGATCTCGGTTTTATAAATTGTGAATAACTGGTTAACATTTTTCTCAGTCCTTTAAATCAGTGCTTCTCATACTACCTGTGAATCACTTGGGAATCTTGTTCAAAAACAGAATCAGATTCAGTAGGTCTGGGATGGGGCCCAAGATTCTGCCTTTCTAATAAGCTTTTTGGAGGTGCTGTTGCTGGTGGTCCTCATACCATGTTTGAGATTAATAGGCTTTAATCTGATGGTTTGATACTTTTACTCGGACATTTACAGTTTTGTGATTTTGCCTGTCATTGACTTCATTACTTACGGATAGTCACGTTTTTAGTAATTCTCTTTTAAAATACATACTCTTATTGTAAAATAATTCACTATATTTTCTTTGAAGAGAAAACACCCATAATACTTTTTATAACATCTTTATAAAGACATAATTTACTTACCATAAAATTTTCCCATTTGAAGTGTACAATTCAGTGGGTTTTAGTATATTCACAGAATTGTACAACCATTACCACTAGCTAACTTACAATACTTTAAGAAAGGTTTAGATTTAAAGCGAAACAGCCCAACAATGGTTTGATCCCACCTTTTTAGGAATTCATTTATGCATAAAGAATGTAGATATTGTAGTTTTTCTTTCCTGGAGTGGCTTTTTTGTTGTTGCTGCTCATTTATTGAACAAATATTTATTGAGCATCTATGTCAAGCACTGTTTGGGGAATTCTGAGGCTGTGGCTGAGATGAAAACTGTTGAAATCTCTGCCCTCATGGAGTTTGCATTCCAGTGGAGTTACATAGTAAGTCAGGGATATGTGCTCCGGGGAGAAATTGAAAATGGTGTGGGCAGGAAGAGGTTAGCTTTGTATTTGTATACTAAGGTCATTTTTTAAGGTAAAATAGAATTAATATCTTTTTTTTATTTTTTAATCCTCACCCGAGGACATTTTTCCATTTTTTGTACAGATAGAGTGGGAGGGAGAGAGAGGAAGAGATAGAGAGAAACATCGATGTGAAAGGGACACATCGAGTGGCTGCCACCGCACGACCAACCAGGACGACCAACCAGGGCCGGGGACAAACTGCAACCGAAGTACGTGCCCTTAGTGGGAACCGAACCCGGGTCTCTCCGGACCGCAGGCCGACGCTCTAACCGCTGAGCCAAACCGACCAGGGCGAATTAATATCTTTTTAAAAATTTTGACTCTATCAAGTTTTAGTAGTATATTTTTAGAAACTGAAAAATGAGAATTCTTAAGAAGGGATATTCTTTCTTTGTCTTCTCCATTGAACTAAATAGTATTTGAGTCACTCAACTGGTGTGGCTCAGTGGATTGAGCATTGTCCCACGGACTGAGGTCCCAATTCCATTCCTGGTCAGGGCACATGCCTGGGCTGCAGGCTCGATCCCCTTGCCACATTGGGACTGTGCTCTAACCAATTAAGCTAACTAGCAAGGTCCCCAAGGGACATATCTGTAAGAAATGGCTGTCTCCTGGCATTTGTATTGAAATGAACTACCAAATAGTTCTGGGTAAGGTATCTTTTTTTTTGTCTTCACTGGAGGGCATTTTTGCATTCATCTTCAGGTAGAGCAGGAGGAAGAGAGGAACATCAATGTGAGAGAGACACATGGGCTGGTTGCCACCCACACAACCCCAACAGGGGCCAGGGACTAACAGCAACAGAGGTAGTGCTATTAGCGGGAACCGAACTTGGTACTGTGTTGTGTGGCCCTATGCTCTAACTGCTGAGCCAAATTGGCCTGGGCTAAGGTGTCTTTTTATAAATAGCTTTCAAATTTTCTGTGCACATTTCCTTTTTTAAAAAAAAATGTTTTTATCTTTATTTATTTTAGAGAGAGAGGAAGGGAGAGGGAGAAAGAAACATCGATTGGCCGTCTCCTGCATGCCCCCTACTAGGGATCGAGCCCATGCCCTGGGTATGTGCCCTGACTGGCATTTGAACCGGCGACCTCTTGGTGCATGGGTCAGTGCTCAGAATGCACTGAGCCACACCGGCTGGGCTGCATATTTCCTTTTAAGTTACTTGTTTTCTTTCTTTTTTTTCTTAAATCCTCACCCAAGAATATTCTTTTTATTTTATTTATTTATTTATTTATTTATTTATTTATTTATTTATTTATTTATTTTATCCTCACCCGAGGACATTTTTTCCATTTTTTGTTCAGGTAGAGTGGGAGGGAGAGAGGAAGGGAGAGAAAGAGAGAAACATCGACGTGAAAGGGACACATCGAGTGGCTGCCACCCGCACGACCAACCAGGGCCGGGGACAAACTGCAACCGAGGTACATACCCTTAGCGGGAACCAAACCCAGGTCTCTCTGGACCGCAGGCCGACGCTCTAACCGCTGAGCCAAACCGGCTAGGGCCCCAAGAATATTCTTATATTTATCTTTAGACAGAGTGAGAGGGAGGGAAAGAGAAACATCGATTGGTTGCCACCCGCATGACCCCACTGGGGCTGGGGACAAACTGCAACCACTTGGCCGGAATAGAACCTGGGACTGTTTGGTCTGCAGACTGACGCTCTAACCGCTGAGCCAAACCAGTCCGGGCTAAGTTACCTGTTTTCTAAGGTTAAGTCTTACCTTCATAATGGAACACAGCTTTTAATGTTTTCATCCTTATACTTAATTAAGTTAGTGAAAAGCAGTTTGGTATTTCTGGGTTTCTGAGGTGGGTAATTTTTTCCCCCTTTATTAATTTGAGAGAGAGAGAGGAAGTGAGAGGGAGAGAGAGTAACGTTGATGAGAATCGATTGGCCGCCTCCTACATGCCCCCCTTTGGGAACTGGGCCCGAAACCTGGGCATATATCTTGACTGGGAATCGAACCGGTGACCTCTTGGTGCTACACCACTGAGCCACACCAGCCAAACTGAAGTGGGTAAATTTTACTGAATTAAAAAAAAAAACTATAGGAAAAGAAATTGAGATTTTGTTCTAAAATATAAATTGATTCTCCCCTTCAGCTGATGTAAGCAATGGTACAATAAAAAAAGAGTCTTCTAACAAAGAAGTAGCAAGAATATGGATAAATGACATGAAAATGAGGAGTTTTTCCCCAACCATGGTGAGTTTCAAAGCTGTGTCTGTGTGGTGTGAAAGTCGCTCGGCTAAAGGGTTCTCAGCAACCCTCAGAAAACTGTTGTGGGTGAAGGTGGGCTACTCTGCTATATAAACTAATGACTAAGCATTTGACTTCACTTGAATAAGCTAATATATACTAAACAAGATGGTTAAAACTTGCATAGTTGATAAGATAGATGTAGTGTTATATGAAGTACTGGCATCTTTTTATTGTGCATCTCCTCTGATTGGGAAGAAGGGTGGAATCAAGTATTTGGTAATGACGTTCATTGTAGGATTGAACCTGCATGGTTAGCTGTTTCTATGACTTGTCAGATCATGTAATGGTCTGGGTGTAAGTAATTACATCATCATCTTTTTCATACATTTAGCAATGCAATATGTTTAGAGTTCATTGCTTCTATTCATTTATTTAATGTGCTTTGTATAATACTGAGTGTGTGTGGTAGGTTTCTGCTAGAAGTGTGCTACATGGCTCCCCTTGAATAAACATGTAGTGTGACAAACACATTTTTTAAGTAAGCAGGTACAGTCAAAGGTACATTTTGATGCTTGCAACAAGGGTTTTAAGTTTGGAAGACAATGAGATCTTGAACTGGAAAGACTTCATTTTATAGAGGAGGTGTGATGAAGTTTGGGTGTTGAGTGTGGACAGAACTCTAGAGGGCATTTTAGGAAGGAAACAAAGCATTAATAGGTACAGAGGAGGTGGTGGCCATGTGCTTAGGTGCCACAAAGCCAAGACGTGTGGCTTGCAGGGAGATGGAGAGGTTTATTTGGGTTTTGTGGAGGGTCCTGAGTTGAGTTTGAAGGACTTTGGAGTTGTTGATGCAGCCTGGAAGTGGAGGGACCTGCTAGATTCAGGATGAGTTCGTTTAGGGAAGAGAGATTGGGAGGAGCTTGGTAAGTAATGCAGAAGGGAGATAAAATAAGGGTCTAAACTTGGAGGATTGGCAAGGATGAGGCGAACAGAGAAAAGGAATAGACAGTATGAGAAGACTGCACGTAACAGGGAGAGGATGGATGGGACTTGGGGTGGAATAGGAATTGCAGAAACGGACAAGTGCTGGCAGCCCCCAGCACTTAACGCTGTGTGCTGACAGCTTACTTGAGAGTGGAATTTTGGAAAGTAAGAATGCACTTTTCTCCAAGAAATGTTGTGTGTAGTTAGTGCTCAGGTTCACAGTCACCACGTGCTTGCCCATACTATGCCCAAATTCTGTGTTGTGGTGCAGTTAGGAAACATCCATCAGGCTGTTCACTGGTAGCCTATGGACCCAAACCAGTGGATATGTGTGTTTTGTTTGGCCTCCACAGTTTTTGAAAATTTTAAACTTTTTTGTAACACATGAAAATCCTCATTTCTTGGTTTTCTTAAAAAATAGGAGTATCTGACAACCCTAGGTAGGCCTACATTCCCCATCTAGTAAAATGTGCCTAGAGTGGAGTGTAGTGAACATCTACTTTATGTGTTGGGCAGGCATTTCTTGACCCTAAGCCTAGTGACAGTTGCCATTTTATATCCAGCTGGCTTAGAAATATTACCTGTGTGGTCCCTGGATTCTGTGACTCTTTGACAGCACCATCTTATCTTCTAATTGAATCTAGGTAAGGAGATAAGGTAGAGGAGACAGAAGAAGGCTGGTGTCAGCACGGTGTCCATCCCTGTTGTAGCTGAGATGTGATTGGAGGTGGGAGGATTTGGAATTTCAGTTTGCGCGAGGCCACACAGGACAAGTACCAGCAGAATTGTGGTTCACATCTGTTTCTTTGGCCAATCCTGTTTTGTCTCTAATTTCTCAAATTGGGTTTCAGTTGGCATACTTCCCGAGAGCATTGGGAGTTTGGGGATTTTTCTGTGGACTCCATGGGATGATGTTGATTGGATGTTTATCTCCCACTGCCCTTTTTCCTCTCACACTTACTGAGCCTTCATATTCTGTTCTAGACTAAGTAAACATTAATAATAATAATAAGAGCCTGCCCTTACCTTCCAGTGCCATGTGACCCTGAGCATTACCTACAGGTCCTGACTGGGTTTTCTCTCTCCTCCTCTCTCCTTGCTACACTGAGTTTCACAGCTGCTTTTTCCCACTCTCCTTGAGCCACGTACACATTGAGAGAGATTTCCTGCCTGGCCGGTTTGGCCCAGCGGTTAGAGCATCAGCCTGTGGACTGAAGGGTCTCGGGTTCGATTCCCTGTCAAAGGCACAGACCTGGGTTACAGGTTCAATCCCCAGACCCAGCAATCAATATGTCTGTTAAATCGGTGCTGCCCCTCTCCAGCTTCCTCTTTCTCCCTTCTACTGTATCTAAAAATAAATGAAAAAATATCCTCAGTCGAGGATTAACAAAAAAACGAAAGAAAGTTTTCCTAATGGTTCTTCGGTATTAAAAAGAGGCTTGTTCCAGGTCTTTCTGTCTCCCTCTCCTTCCCTGCCTCTATCCCTGTAAGATTCTGTTGAGAAACACAAGGGAACACTTGGCTGATGACCATTTGCTCTGTTTGCTTGAGATAGTCCAGGTTTCCTCCTCTGTTCCTCACATAGTCATTAGTAACTCCCTATTTCATGGCAAGAGGTGCCAAGGTGTGGAGAGTAAATTATACAGGGATCCTAAATGTGGTTGTGATTGTGTCTGTGGAGACACAGATGTTTGAAGTGACTTCTCTGCCCTTCAGAAGAACATTTCAACTCTAAGGCTTACTGGGCCTTTGGTTTTATTTTTTATTACTATTATAATTTTTTTGGATAGATTTTTAGAGAGAGAGGAAGGGAGAAGAAGAGACAGATAGAAACACCAATGAGAGAGAACATAGGTTGGCCGCCTCCTGCACACTCCCCACTGGGGATTTGGCTCACCACCTGGGCATGTGCCCTGACTGGGTATCAAACCAGTGACCCCTTTGGTGCATGGGTTGACGTTCTACCACTGAGCCACACCAGTGGGACTATTTTTTTGTTTTTAATCCTCACCCGAGGATATTTTTGCATTTATCTTCAGATAGCGTGGGAGGGAGAGAGGTGGGGAAGAGAGAGAGAGACACATTGATGTGAGTCAGACACATCAACAGGTTGCCATCCACATAACCCCAACTGGGGTGGGGACAAACTACAACCAAGGCACTTGCCCTTAGCGGAAACTGGAAACCGAACCCGGGACTCTCTGGTCCACAGGCCCACGCTCTAACCGCTGAGCAAAACCGGCCAGCGCTAGTGGGCCTATTTTTAAAATTCTCACCTGAGGATGTTTTTCCATTTATCTTCAAATAGAGTAGGTGGAAGTGGGCAAGGAGGGCAGAGAAACATCAGTGTGAGAGAGACACGTTGACTGGTTGCGTCCTGTACAACCTCACCCAGTGCCAGGGACTGAACCGAAACTGAGGTACGTGTCCTTGACCGGAATCGAACCTGGTACTTATTGGTCCACGGGCTGATGCTCTAACTGCTGAGCCAATCCAGCCAGGGCAGGACTTTGGTTTTAAGAAGACAGATGGAAGTGAACTAAAAGAGAACAGATGAGGTGAGACTTGGAGTTTCGGCCAGGGCAAAGGTGACAGTAGTTTGAGATGATGGTAGTGGGAGGAAGGTGCAGCCCTGTGGTAGCTCCTTGGTGTATTAGTTATGAGAGCAGGTCATGGATGGTCTGTGCTCATCATTGGAGAAGCTGCAAGCCACAAACCGGGACCCGATTCAGGGAGTGTAGAAATGGTATGCCATGCTTTCAGATTCGGAGATTTGGGGTGTTCCTTCAAAAGAGTGTTGTGGTGTGCCTGGGCTTCCAGTCTGGATGAGAATGGATTGTGTGCTCTCTGTGTTACAGAAGGTTCCTGTTGTAAAAGAGGAAGATGAACCGGAGGAAGAAGACGAGGAAGAAATGGGTCACGCAGAAACTTATGCAGAGTATATGCCGATAAAGTGTATGTCTTTGGGATTTCTCAGAATGATGACAGACTTCTGGGTTCCTCTTGAGCTTAAATGACTTACCCACACACATTGTTATCTATTAGGATCTATCAGGGTTGGGTACCTCAGGATTTAACATGTACCATCTTTGTCATGTTTTAAATTATAATATGTTTGAAAATATCTTCAATAACATTTTACTGTGGTTTTTATTTTCTTCACAAATTTAGAACTTTGTTTTAGATTGAAGTCTTTTAAAACAAAGAATAAAATATTGGGTTTATTTTGTTTCAACTTAATTTTGCTGAAAGAGATTATAAAATCAGTACATTGCAGAGATGTGCGTGAATATGTGTCTTAAGTTTATGTGGTTGGTAGAGCTTATCTAAATCAAAATTTTAAAACCTGGGAATCTTAAAGGTAAAATGTGTTATTTGAATTCACTGGTTTATTAACATTATGTCTGCCTTTTTCCCATAATGACCATGAAAATTAATAATTATTTGTCTTTTACATACTCTGGGTTTTTGGAAAAGCCACTAATAATACCACTTAAACCAAAAATCTGTTTATCATTCATGTGTGGGCCCTAAGATCTCATACTTTTCTGGTCATTTAAAATGAGCTTTAAATTGTGGTATCTGAAATTTTCCAATAATAGTCTTCACAAAAGGATTAAAAGTTTAGCCCTGGCTGGTTTTGCTCAGTGGTTAGAGCGTTAGCCCAAGGACCAGTGAATGAGCCACAGGTTTGATTCTAGTCCAGGGCACATACCTTGGCTGCGATTCGTCCCCAGCCTTGATTGAGTTTGTGGGAGGCAGCCACTTGATGTGTCCCTCTTATGTTGATGTCCCCCCCCCCTTCCCACTGTCTCCCTCTCACTCTAGCTAAACAAAAATGGAGAAATACCCGTGGGTGAAGATGTAAAATAATAATAATAATAATAAAATAATTTTTATTTTTTTATCCTTACCCGAGGACACTTTCATTTTTTTGTTCAGATAGAGTGGGAGGGAGAGAGGAAGAGAGAAACATCAACATGAAAGGGACTCATCGAGTGGCTGCCACCCGCACGACCAACCAGGGCCGGGGACAAACTGCAACCAAGGCACGCGCCCCTAGCAGGAACCGAACCCGGGTCTCTCTGGACCTCAGGCCGATGCTCTAACTGCTGAGCCAAACCTGCCAGGGCTAAAATAAAAAGTTAAAAAAGGATTAAAAGTTTATTGATGACCCCTTAAACCAGAAGTCAGCAAAGTAAATCTGGACTATTTTTTATTTTTATTTTTATTTTTTGGTATGTTCCCCTAGTGGGAACCAAACCCGGGACTCTCTGGTCCGCAGACCAATGCTTCAACCGCTGAGCCAAACCGGCCAGGGCCTATTTTTTTATTTTTTTAAATAAAGTTTTATTGGAACATAGCCATGCCCATGGGTTATTTATCGGCCAGGGCTGCTTTAACCCTGCTACAACAGCAATGTTCGGCAAAAGAGACCAGATGCCCGCAAATCTGAAAATATTTACTACTTGACCATTTACAGAAAAAGTTTGTTGACCCCTATTTTAGATTATATTCACTTCATACATTTTGGGGAACTAGTTTCTCTTCAGTTTTCTAGCCAAGATTTTTTTGAAATATCTTTCAAGATAAAATAATATTGTAAACTTTTGTCACTGATTGATAATGAATGATTTATTCACGTAAACTTCTTAAGCTAAGATTATGTTCTGTTACTACTGGAGAACCTGGTGTATACTAAATTGGTATTTTCCTTGATCTCTTTAATCCACATGTCACTATTTAAAACATAGAAAGTTGATAAATAGGTCATTTTAGTCAAATTTGAACAGTACTTGACTATCAGTGGCTTTTTATAGAATCCTGGAATATATAGTTACTTATTTACTTAATATTTTCTGTCTTAAAATAGAAGGTCAGTGTCTTATAATACACCCGGAAGTACTGTTCCCTAGAATAATTAAAGTGAAGTATTTTTTTTTAAATTTTCATTTAGTAAAAATTGGGCTACGTCACCCAGATGCTGTGGTGGAAACTAGTTCTTTATCCAGTGTTACTCCTCCTGACGTTTGGTACAAAGCCTCCATTTCTGAAGAAACCATTGACAATGGCTGGTTATCAGCATTACAGCTTGAAGCAATTACATACGCAGCCCAGGTAAGCAATGATATTTCGTAACTGCATACCGTATTCATCCTTTTTACGTTTATTTTCTTTATTGATTTATTTTATTTTTTTCTTCATTGATTTTATAGAGACGAAGGGAGAGGGAGACAGAGAGAGAGAAACATTGATGAGAGAGAACATCAATTGGCCACCTCCTGCGTGCTCCCCACTGGGGATTGGGCCCACAACCTGGACATGTGCCCTGACTGGGAATTGAACTGGCAACCTCTTGGTGCATGGGCGGACACTCAACCACTGAGCCACTCAGGCCGGGCTTTAAAAAATTTTTTTTCTATCTGTTAATCGAAGTCTATATTATCTAGTTGTTTTAGTCCAGAGGTAAGTTTTCCTTGCATGGAAAACTTCTGAATGTGGTTTTTATAGAAGTCTTTCGTGTTTGAAAATTAAACGGGGGCAGTGTGGATATGGGGAGTACAATGCATGTACAAATGACAAATGTTAACTTTTTGGGATTCACTGGGAATCTGCATTAAAACTAAAAATGCATAGCTCGGCCAGTGTGGCTCAATGGTTGAGTGTCCACCCATGCACCAAGTGGTCGTGGTCAAGGCACATGCCCAGGTTGTGGGCCTGATCCCCAGTGGCGGGCATGCAGGAGGCAGCCAATCGATGTTCTCTCTTTCATTGATTTTTCTCTCCCCCCCCTTTTCTTCTCTCTAAAATCAATAAAGAAAAAAAAAGGGTTTATATCCTTTGACCTAACAATTCCATTGCTGGAGTTTATCCCATAGAATCAGTAGAAAAGAACACATACATAAGGCTTTTTGTTGGATCTTCCCTCACCCCCCCTCCGTGGTTGAAAGCTAAAATAGTTTGAAAGCTCACACCCTTGGAATGATTGAATAAACTGTGATGTTACCACAAAGGTGTTGTATCAGTTTTTAAAACAATGTTGAGTTAAGAGTTATGGCAGTTTTGAAAGGATTTCTGTCCTACTCTGTTTGTCAAAGAAGTGATGGTCAAACAGCCACCCATCCCTCACATTTATGTGTGATGCAAAAGTTTGTATTTGGCAGTGCTGTTGAGAGGGGCTGGAAGATTGTGCATGTTTGTTCATTTTAGTCACCTGGTGCATGCAAGGGTAGCAAGATGGAACACATAGTAAATAAAAAGAAAGTATCCACAGTAAGCCAAACTGTATGCCATTTATTATAAACACAGGTTGCGTTAATATAGCCCTGAAACAGTGTATGAGAGACTGATCACCGAAATATCAAAAGAAATAGGTTAATTACCAGCTTTTTTTTCCCCCCCTAGCAACATGAAACATTCCTACCTAATGGAGATCGTGCTGGCTTCTTAATAGGTGATGGTGCTGGTGTAGGAAAAGGGAGGACGATAGCAGGAATCATCTATGAGAATTATTTGTTGAGTAGGAAAAGAGCATTGTGGTAAGTGCTGAGGACTGGCTGTGGGAGCGCCCATGTGAATGATCACTTCAGCACTGGGGAGGGAGGGGTTTGAATGAGCAGCTGTGTAGTTTCTGAAGTGTCAAGGCCTGGTTTTATTTATTTCTGAAAAATGGCAGAACCGTGGAATTTGCATTTATTTTATTTATTTTTGTGGCAGGTTCAGTGTTTCAAATGATTTAAAGTACGATGCTGAAAGAGATTTGAGGGACATTGGAGCAAAAAACATTTTGGTCCATTCATTAAATAAGGTATGAAACTTTTCTATTTAGTTGGTTATTCAATAAATACTCATGTATGATATGGGAATAATAAGTTTCCGCTTCATAGGACTGTTACAAGGATGCACTGAATTACTTCACAGGAAACTTAGTGCTAGTCACTGTTGGTTTGTGGATTTCTGTGTGTCAAATACTATGCCAAGTACGGTTCTGTAGTGGCAAACAAAATAGACATTGTCTGTTGTTTTGGAATTTGTTCTCTTAGTCTTCTGAGAGGGTACAGTGCAGTAAAGCTGTGTGGACACGACCTTTAGAGAATGGCCGTGGTTTGGAGACTGGTTTGATGCCTGTGTGTCCGTGGACTTGTGTACCCACACCTGTGTTCTGGTAAGACAGTTCTGTCAAGTGGAAGTGATTAGAGAGTTCATCTGTAGCAAATGTTATTGTCCCCCAGCTATGCACCAATTGCTCAGTTACAGGGTATAGTAGACAGACCTAGTTTCTGCAAGTTCCCTCCTATAGCCCTTTGAGAAGAAGTAAACGTAAGTCTACCTGCCACATGGGTCCTAGGTTAGGTCACTGTGGCTCCACAATGCTTTTCTGGGTGGCATTCTTGACGCATTGGGAGGTAGTCAAGTGCAGTGCCTTGAAAAACTACTAATTGTTCAAAAGCATGTAGCTGGCATCTAAAATATTTTTTATTTCTGAGTCAGTGTAATTGAAGAAGGGCACATTAACTATTAATCATTATTTCTACATTTCCCTCAGAACTTAATTACAGTGCTTTGCCTGTAGCAATAACTGTGCAATAAATATTTGTAGAATGAATATTGTGACTCTTGTAGGGGAGTTTGGTTTGTAATTTTTTTTGTGTGTGATGTTTTTAAAATTTATTTTTATTTATTTTATCCTCACCCGAGGACATTTCTCCATTTTTTGTTCAGATAGAGTGGAAGGGAGAGAGAGAGAGAGAGAGAGAGAAACATCGATGTGAAAGGAACACAGCCAGTGGCTGCACCCACACGACCAACCAGGGCCGAGGCACGCGCCCTTAGTGGGAACCGAACCCGGGCCTCTCTGGACCACAGGCCGATGCTCTATCCAGTGAGCAAAACCAGCCAGGGCTAATTTATTTTTTAATCCTTACCTGAGGACATTTTTGCATTTATCTCAAGACAGAGCAGGAGGAAGAGAGAGAGAGAGAAAAAAACATTGATGTGAGAGAGACATATCGAGTGGTTGCGACACATCCAGTGGTTGCCACCCACATGACCCCAACCAGGGCAAGAGACAAACTGCACCCGAGGTACGTGCCCTTAGTGGGAACCGAACCTGGGTCTCTCTCTGGTCCGCGGGCCAACGTTCTAACTGCTGAGCCAAACTGGCCAGGGCTGTGATGTATTTTTTGTGACTTTGAAAACTGGACCTTTGTACCACGAAGTTGTATATACATATGTGTGTGGGTGCATGCTTTGTGTGTATGTGTATTCATATGTATAAGATATTTTTGTATGATCTTAGGAGTTCCTTGACTCTAGAAGATTGGGTGGAATAAATGTTTCAGAGAGAAGTGTGTATTTACTAAATTCTCCTCTTCTCTTTTTCAGTTTAAGTATGGAAAAATTTCTTCCAAACATAACGGGAGCGTGAAAAAGGGTGTTATTTTTGCTACCTATTCTTCTCTTATTGGTGAGAGTCAGTCCGGTGGTAAATATAAAACGAGGTTAAAACAGCTTCTGCATTGGTGTGGCGATGACTTTGACGGAGTGATATCCTTTTCAACAACCTTTTTCAAAAATTAATTTAATTTTTTGTTAATCTTCACCTGAGGATGTTTGAGAGAGAGACATCGATTGGTTGCTTCACGCACAAACTTGACGGGGGTCAGGGATCGAATCTACAATCCACATACGTGCCCTTGACTGGGAATGGAACCCAGGACCCTTCAGTCTGCAGGCTGCCGTTCTAACCACTGAGCAAAATAGCCCAGGGCTGCTTTTGTATTTTTGTAGAGTTAATGTAAGAATGAATATTTGGGAAATAGGAATCCTGAGATTAAATAAACAAGTTCCTGGGCTGTCTGCTTTAATGATTACCTAAAGTCCAAAAGGGTCAGAAAATTGGTTCTGTTTTGTGGCTGTCACATAGGAAGGAGGCCAGTATTTATTAAGTCCCTGGTTTAGGAAAATACTTGTAGGTGTAGGAAGTGCAGAAGACTGTTTCCCTCTTGGGGATCCACATGGCATGTTTATATAGGAAAGGACCTGAAAGACATGGCTGTGGGGAGATCACCTGCCTTCGTATTTTTCTGACCGACTTGCTCATAAAACACCTTCACTCTCCTGCACAGAGAACCAGCATGTATTTGAAATGCTGACCCACCCAGTGAGTTAGTAATCTCTCTTATAACAGAATTTGCCCCAATGTCTGTGTTGTGGGCTTTTTTGTCACGGTGGATATTTTTCTCATTCTAATTAGGAATTAAATATCTGGTTAAGTGAATAGCAAATTTAGTGGGTGTCTCTGAGACCTGAGAGGGAGCTGGTGGAGATCAAGGCAAGGCACATAAGGGCTACATTGATGTTTGTAATGTTAATGAAAAAGAAAACAATCTAAATCAGATCGCGCACACATGGTAAGGTCTGACAGCTGGGTGACAGGCATGTGGGTATTATGTAAAAAGTCAACACCCAGGGGCTTACTATCAACAGCATTGAAGATTGAAGACACGTGCTACTAATGTGATATGTTCCTTAATTCATTCCTTGCAGATAGTGTTTGATGAATGTCATAAAGCAAAAAACTTATGTCCTGTTGGTTCTTCAAAGCCAACCAAGACAGGCTTAGCCGTTTTAGAGCTTCAGAACAAATTGCCAAAAGCAAGAGTTGTTTATGCTAGTGCCACTGGTGAGTAGCTTTTTATTTTTTTTACTATTTTTTTTAATTCTCACCCGAGGACATTTTTCCACTTTTTGTTCAGATAGAGTGGGAGGGAGAGAGGAGGGAGTGAGAGAGAGAAACATGGACGTGAAAGGGACACATCGAGTGGCTGCCACCCAGGCAGGGCTGGGGACAAACTGCAACCAAGGTACGTGTCCTTAGCGAAAACCGAACCTGGGTCTCTCCAGACCACAGGCCAATGCTCTAACCCCTGAGCCAAACCGGCCAGGGCAGTAGCTGTTTATTTTTAAAAGATAGATGTGGAGGTTATTTTTTCAGCTGTAATAAGTTTTGTTTTTGTTTTTTTCCCCAGGTGCTTCTGAACCACGAAATATGGCCTATATGAACCGTCTTGGAATATGGGGTGAAGGAACTCCATTTAGAGAATTCAGTGATTTTATTCAAGCAGTGGAACGGAGGTAATGAAATTTGCAGTGTACACTACTTCTTAGGAGCAGTCTAAAAGATGTGCATTGCTAACACCTCTTTCACATATGTTAAAGCCCTACTGTATTTAATGATAGTTACTGTGTGTTTTAAATTTATTCAGAGGTGTTGGTGCCATGGAAATAGTTGCTATGGATATGAAGCTTAGAGGAATGTACATTGCTCGACAGCTGAGCTTTACTGGAGTGACCTTCAAAATTGAGGAAGTTCTTCTTTCTCAGAGCTATGTAAAAATGTATAACAAAGCAGTCAAGCTGGTGAGAATTTTTAACTTAATCCCTAGTGTTTTTAATGAACCTGCTAATGTTTCTGTTAGTTTTGTTCTGTGTAACATGGGTAAGCCCACAACAGTATATTTCTGCTAGAAAACAACAGATAAATCACCAGATCCTTATTTTCCTAATTTTCCAAGCCTTCTGTTTGTTAATTTATAAAAAATAGCCATTTATTTTAGTTCCATGGTTTTAAAAATTAAAATTAACTATTTCCTAAAATACCTGCATGAGTTTATAAGAATTTTGGGCCAGCTTTGTGTGAGCACCCTAAAAGTCATTTTTAGAGATCTCAAGTTACTGAATATGCTTTGTTAAATTAATGTTAAATGGTCTTGCACTTAATATTATTTTGACTGAATTAGTTATTTTAATATAATTTTTACTCAAAGATGAAATACCTAAAATTTTGATTATGCATCTTCAGTGGGTCATTGCCAGAGAGCGGTTCCAGCAAGCTGCGGATCTGATTGATGCTGAGCAGCGAATGAAGAAATCCATGTGGGGCCAGTTCTGGTCTGCTCACCAGAGGTTTTTCAAATACTTGTGCATAGCATCCAAAGTTAAGAGGGTTGTGCAGCTAGCTAGAGAAGAAATCAAGAATGGAAAAGTAAGTTGGAAAAACACCAAAAGAGATTTGTTCTTTAGTTATGTGTTTTGTTTTGTTTTCATGAAGTCTTTTGGGTGTTGAGGTTTCCTCCTTGTAAAACCTGCTCTTTCTAAAGCATTGTAAAAGTATTAATACAGGTAGGTCTGTAAAAATGTTTTTAAAATAATAAAAGCTATGTGTGGTTATAAAGAATTTAGAGAGCTCACTAAATGTAAAGAAGTAAACATGACTGCAAGTTGGCTGCACATCGATATAATTGCTGATAACATGGAGATAGATGCCTATATTTCTCAGGATTCTTCTTTTTGATGAATTTATTTCTACTTAGAAAGCACAAAGAATGGGCTGGGGCTTAAACCGTGTCCACTGCTGTAATCCTGTTTGCTAGCTAAGTTTTTACCCGTAGCGTGTCTCAAATATATGTAGACCGAATAAAGGAGCAATGCGTATGATAATGACCAGTTCTTGTTTGAAAATTTTTTTACTAAACATTAAAAATATTTTTAAGAATTATGTGCATATTTTTATTTATAACTAATAATTGTATTTTCTCTCCAGTGTGTTGTAATTGGTCTGCAGTCTACAGGAGAAGCCAGAACCTTAGAAGCCTTGGAAGAGGGCGGAGGAGAACTGAATGATTTTGTTTCAACCGCCAAGTAATATTTTCCGTTTTACTTAGATCAGTGATTTTCAACCTTTTTTTTTCTTTCTAAATATGTTTTTATTGGTTTTATTAGAGAGGAAGGGAGAGAGAGATAGAAACATTGATGTGAAAAAGAAACATCGATTGGCTCTCTCCTGCACAGCCCCCACTGGAGATCAAGCTCAAAACCTGGGCATGTACCCTGACCAGGAATCGAACTTGACCAGGACGTCTCAGTCCATAGGACTAGCCTCAATCCACTGCACCAACCTGGCTGGGTGATTTTCAACCTTTTTCATGTCATGGCATGCATAAACTAATTCCTAAAATTCTGCAGCACACCATAAAATATATTTTTTCCTGATCTGACCAAAAAATAGGTATAATTTTGATTTGTTCATACTGGATGTCTATTGTTATGTTGGCTGTTGTCTTTTTCCCCCCCCCGATATTTTGTTCAGATAGAGCGGGAGGGAGGGAGGGAGAAACATCGACGTGAAAGGGATACATTGAGTGGTTGCCACCGAGACGACCCAACCAGGGCCGAGGACAAACTGCAACCGAAGTACTTGGCCCTTAGCAGGAACCGAACCCGGGTCTCTCTGGACCGCAGGCCGACGCTCTAACTGCTGAGCCAAACCGGCCAGGGCTGTTGTCATTTTTTTATTTGATTATCAAAGGGAAAAGAAGTCAGAGTCCCTCACTAAATTTAGTTAGGTATTGCATGTTTTAAAAATTCTTTCGGGTCCAGCCAGTGTAGCTCAGTGGTTGAACGTCGCCCCATACACCAAGAGGTTGCTAGTTCCATTCACATCTGGACACATGCCCAGGTTGTGGGCCAAATCCCCAGTAGGGGGCATGCAGGACGCAGCCAATTGATGTTCTCTCTCACCAAAGTTTCTATCTCTCCCTCTCACTTCCCCTCTCTCAAAATCAATAAACAAAAAAAGTTTTTAAATGATAGCCACTAGTCACATGTGGCTGTTGAGCAGGTGACTTGGCTAGTGTAAATTAAGATGTGCTGTGAGTATAAAGTGCACACAAAGTAGAACAGTTTCTTGATCACATGTAGTGATATAATAAGTTAAGTAAAATACATTGTTAAAATTTATTTCACCAGTTTTCTTTTACTTTTTAATGTAGCTAGTAGAAAGTGTAAAAACTGCATATTTGGCTCGGGTTTGCATTAAATTGCAATTGGATGGCCTTAGCCTAGAATATTAAAATTCATTTTAACTGGATTATCAGTATTTTGTAACATTGAACAAAGTATATTGATTTTTAAGAAGTATATTCTGTGAGACTTTATTTTTATTGTTTTAATCTCAGCTGAGGATATTCTCTACATTGGTTTTTTAAATTTTATTTTATGTAGAGTGGGAGGGAAAAAAGGGGAAGAGAGAGAGACACACACACCCCCCCCAATATGCTGCTTCCCACACTATCCAACTGGGGCTAGGGATCGAATCCTACAACTGAGGAACTTGCCCTTGACTGGGAATTGAACCTAAAACTCATACGGGCCAACAGTCTTACCCGCTGAGCCAAACAGGCTAGGGCTATATTTATTATTACTATTATTTTTTATCCTTACCCGAGGACACTTCTGTATTTATCTTGAGAGAGAGAGACGGGGGAGGGGGGGGTGGACGATGTGAGAGAGACACATTAACTGGTTGCCACCCACACAACCCCAACTGGGGCCGGGGGACAAACTGCCACCTAGGTACGTGCCCTTAGTGGGAACTGAACCCGGACCTCTCTGGTCCTCAGGCTGACAAACTAACCGCTGAGCCAAACTGGCCAGGGCTATTTTTATTCTTTAAAAAACTTTTATGTATTGATTGATTTTAGAGAAAGACAAACATCAATTTATTGTTTGACTTAATTATGCATTCATTGGTTGCTTCTACATGTGTTCTGACTTGAGATCAAACCTTCGACTTGGGTGTGTTGGGACAACGCTTTAACCCATTTAGCTATCGGGCCATGGCATGCCTTTGTATATAATAATTATGTTTCAAACTGAACTACTCAAGCCCTGACCAATGTGGCCCAGTTGGTTGGAGCCTGGTCCCATGCACCAAAGGATCATAGTTTCAAAGGACAACTACACAAGTTGTGGTTTAGTCACCAGGGCACAAGTGCAGGAAGCAAGTGATCTATGTTTCTCTACCATCCATATTTTTCTCTCTCTCTCTCCTCCTCTCTTCAAAACAAAACAAACAAAAAAATCAATTACAAAACTGAACCGCTGATTGTCACTTTTTTCCTCTTCTACAGAGGAGTGTTGCAGTCACTCATTGAAAAGCACTTCCCTGCTCCAGACAGGAAAAAGCTTTATAGTTTGCTGGGAATCGATTTGACAGCTCCAAGTAACAACAGTTCACCAAGAGATAGTCCTTGTAAAGAAAACAAAATGAAGAAGCGAAAAGGTGGGTTTTTATTTTTTTAATGTTCTTGAAAGTAGTATAGATTTGAGCACTTAAAAGGAGATATTTTGCCTGACTGGTGTGACTCACTGGTTGAGCATCGACACATTCACCAAGATGTTACCAGTTTAGTTCCTGGTCTGGGCACATGCCAAGGTTGTGGGCCAGGTCCCCAGTGGGGGGCATGCAGGAGGCAGCCAGTTGATCTTCTCTCTCATCCATGTTTCTATCTGTCCTTTTTCCATCTTCTCTCTCTAAAATCAATAAAGAAAAAAAAATTCATGGAACTTTATCAATTTTTAAAAAAAAATCCTTACCCGAGGATATTTTTGCATTTATCTTCAGGTCGAGCGGGAGCGAGAGAGGAAGGGAGAGAGACAGAAACATTGATGTGAAAGAGACACATGGACTGGTTGCCACCTTCATGACCCCAACTGAGGCCGGGGACAAATTGGGACCAAACCCAGGATACACTGGTCCACGGGCCGATGCTCTAACCCCTGAGCAAAACTGGCCAAGGCAAATTCATGGAACTCTAAAAAAAGAGAGAGAGATATTTTGAGAATTAAATGCCTTCTTTGAATCAGCAAATGGCTACATATTTTCACTCTCGCTCATGTAGTTTTGAATGCATAAGAAACCCATTTTAAATTGGGACTTGAACCATTTGAATTGTGCTCGGCATGGTGTTAGCATTGGCCATACAGGGGGTCCATATGAAAGCAGGTCTTATACGTTTTTTTAGTTTTCTAGACAGAGGAAATTAAGGTACAGGAAGATAGAGTTATAAGGAGTTTTTTGAAGTTCACACATATCTGCTGGGCAATATATAGAAACCAAAACCCAGGCCTGTATGTTGTGAAAGCTGTGCCCAGGCATGTATGTATAGTCTTGTCTAAGGAGGCTTCTGCACTGGCCGGTTTGGCTCTGTGGCCTGCGCACCGAAGGGTGGACCTTTCAATCCTAGTCAAGGGCATGTGCCTGGTTGCAGATTTGATCCCCAGTCCTGCTTGGGGTCATATGGAAGGCCGCTAATTGATGTGTGTCTCGCATGTCATTGTTTCTCCCCCTTCCCACCACTGTGCTGAAAATCAGCGGGAAAATATTCTGAGGTTATGATGAACAACAACAACCAAAAACTGGCTTCTTTTACTTCATTATTCCATTGTCTTAGTGGCATGAAAAGTAATGTTATTTGATATATTTTTTCTGCATATTCAGTAAGATCATTCAAATCAGTACCTTCTTTGTCTTTAAAAATACAATTTTATATGTTGATTGTTAATACAGTTGATCTTTGAACAACCCGGGAGTTAGGACGCTGACCCCCCAACAAAGTAGAAAAATCTTGGTACAACGTTTGACTCCCCAAACACTTAACTATTAATACCCTGTTGTTGCCTTACTGGTAACACAAATGGTCATTTAACACATTTTGTGTTTTTTTGTGTGTATTATATACTGTATTTTTATAATAAACTAAACTAGTGAAAAGGATACCTACTAAAATTTTACTAGAGAAAATACATTTATATTATATTATAGTGCTTATTGAAAAAAGTCTGCCTATAAGTGGACCTACCCAGTTCATTCCTTTACTGTTGAAGGGTCAGCTGTATTCCATAGATTATTTTATGTATTTTTAAAATATTTTTAATCCTTACGTGAGGATATTTTCCCATGTATCTTCAGACAGAGTGGGAGAGAGGGAGCCGGGGGAGAGAGAGAAACATCAATGTGAGAGGGACACACCGACAGGTTGCCTCCCGCATGAGCCTGACCAGGGCCGGGGACAAACTGCAACTGAGGCACATGCTCCTGACCATAATTGAACCCACAACTCATTGGCCCGTGGGCCGACACTCTTAACAACTGAGCCATGCCCTGGCCGGTTTGGCTCAGCGGTTAGAGCGTCAGCCTGCGGTCCAGAGAGACCCGGGTTCGGTTCCCGCTAAGGGCATGTACCTTGGCTGCAGTTTGTCCCCGGCCCTGGTTGGGTCGTGTGGTTGGCGGCCACTCGATGTGTCCCTTTCACATCGATGTTTCTCTCTCTCTCCCTCTCTCTCCTTCCCGCTCTGAGTAAAAAACGGAAAAAATGTCCTCAGGTGAGGATAAAAAAAACAACAACAACAAAAAAACACAACTGAGCCAAACCGGCCAGGGCTAGAGGATTTTATTTTTATAAACATTTTTTAAGATTTTTTTAGAACTGATTTTTAGAGAGAGAGGAAGGGAGAGGGAGAGAAAGTAAGAAGCACTGATGTGAGAGAAACATCAATCGGCTGCCTCCTATACGATACGCCTCTTACCAGGGATGGGGCCTGTAACCTGGGCATGTGCCCTGACCGGGAATTGAACCAGCAACCTCTTGGTGCAGAGGTCAATGCTCAACCACCGAGTCACACTGGCTGGCCTTTTTAAAGTATTCTTTAAAACTATAATAATTAGGTCTCTTCATTCAACCTAATAAACAAATTCGGACAGTGCCAGAGATATTGTCTTATTCGAGTTCTGAATTTATTTTGAAACTTGTGCACTTGAAGACAATCTTCAGTTTTTATTTGTGTATCCAATTTCTTCTTAAAAATAATTGAACATAACCTAATTTCTATGTAAGTACAAAAAATTAGCACTTGTTTGTGAATTTTATTTGTTCTTATATTCTTAGTTAAATCCCTTTTTTCCTACCAGTCTCATTTGAATTAACTTGTGAACTAAATGTAATCCTGGAGATTTAAAACTGTGTTTGGACTGACTCTCTTGTTTGGGGTTTGAGGGTAGGTGAAGAAATAACTCGAGAAGCCAAAAAAGCACGAAAAGTAGGTGGCCTTACTGGTAGCAGTTCTGATGACAGTGAGAGTGAGTCTGATGCCTCTGACAACGAGGAGAGTGACTACGAGAGCTCTAAAAACATGAGTTCCGGTGACGATGACGACTTCAACCCATTCAGAGAAGAATCCAGCGAGGGCGACGAAGACGGTGAGTTTGTCTTGTACTAAATGCACACCAACGGGCCGCTGTTTCTGTGTCCCTGACATGGCATATTGTATTAAATAAAACATGTTTCTCTGAAGTACAAATTATCATCTTTGCTTGGTGGAGAGATCCATGGTTGTCTATCTTCTGGTGGTTTAGCTCATTTATGTAAGATGATGACCTCAGTTTTGTTCAGTTATTTTTAACCTCAAAGCATTGGGTTTTTCTCATGGTATATGGACGTGTACTGGACCACTGTACCTGGCGACCATTTACATTTTATCACTTAACAATACAAAAAAAATGAATGGTTCTGCCTGTCCTTTGAAGATTCTGTACTTGTTTTAAGAAGCGATTTGATATGTATCTTTAACTTTCAGATCCTTGGTTAATCAGAAAAGATCACAAGAAGAACAAAGATAGAAAAAAAAAGAAAAGTATAGATCCAGATTCTATTCAAAGTGCCTTATTAGCATCAGGTCTTGGATCAAAACGACCTAGTTTTTCGTCTACACCAGTTATTTCGCCGGCTCCTAACAGTGCACCAGGTATTCATGTGGAAGCTTGCTTTGTCTCTGGAATGTATTTTTAAACCAAACAAATATTTAAACTCTCTCCTGATTTTTTACAAATGTACTTTATCTAGCTAACAGTAACACCAACAGTAACAGTAGCCTTATAACAAGTCAGGATGCCGTGGAAAGAGCCCAGCAGATGAAGAAAGACCTACTTGATAAGCTAGAAAAACTGGCTGAAGACCTCCCTCCTAACACCCTGGACGAACTTATTGACGAGCTTGGTGGCCCTGAGAATGTTGCTGAGGTAAATAGGACTTGACCAGGCTATGTCTCTTGGTAGTTATTTTGCCACTTATAAAACCCTGTAGAATGAGCCGTATTTTGGGGATCGTCACATAATGATCTCTCTGGTTTCCTCTCAGGTCCTAGGGTCCTTGTTCCACTCTAGTCCTCATCCTAGAGCCGCTAGTATCTGCCTGTCTGCCCTAGATACTCATTGTCTGTCCTTGCACTGACAGGCACCCTCTGAGCATTGCCACATGTCTGCTGTCTTCACTGGAATTGGGACTTTCAAAACCAGGGCTTGTGTTGCAATGTCTCTCCCACAGTGCGTGGTGCAGCACACACTGGCTCTCATGCCTTCCACCTCACACCAGGTTTCCCCAGTGAGGGAGTCCTGGGTCTGACTCGGGTGTCTTAATTGTAAGTGGCATTGTTTGCTTGACTTTGCAGATGACTGGCCGCAAGGGGAGGGTTGTAAGTAATGATGATGGGAGCATATCTTATGAGTCAAGATCTGAACTTGACGTCCCTGTGGAGATACTAAATATCACGGAAAAACAAAGATTTATGGATGGAGATAAGGTATGTTTTTCTGGGATACTTTTTAGATTTCTTTTGTGGGATGCTTTTCATGGCAGGGTTACTGCCCACATATTTGGACATTTAGATTAATCTTTAGGAGGTTTTTATTTTATTTTAATATAAATTGTGCTTGTTGAATGTTCTATATTTTTTGGTAATTGCACATAATCACTGAGCATTTACATGTTTTTGTTCTTGATAAGATGAATGTACATAGAATTAGATGTGGTTCTTTTTAGCTTTGGAAATCTTTTTTTTTTTTCATTTTTTATTTTTATTCATTTATTTTTGGTACATGCCCCTAGTGGGAACCGAACCCAGGACTCTCTGGTCCGTAGGCCGATGCTCCAACCACTGAGCCAAACTGGCCAGGGCTAGCTTTGGAAACCTTTGATCAGAATATTAATATACTGCATTTTTCTCAGGTAATCTTTTGACACCATATAGATGCTACTGTCTAGTCTCAGTCTTAAATTTTGAATCTAGAAACATATTGTGTGCCCAGATTATTAATGGCCATTGTTTGTACTGCTTCTGTTGTTGCTATGTCATGTTATATTAGGATAGTTTACTCTAAATGACTTGTGGATTAGCCTGGCCAGTGTGGCTCAGTGGATGAGCGTTGACCCACGCACCAAGAGGTTGCCAGTTTGATTCCTGGTCAGGGCACATACCCAGGTTGTGGGCTAGTTCCCCAAGGGGATCATGCAGGAGGCAACCAATCGATGTTCTCTCTCATCGATGTTTCTCTCTCTCGCATCCTCTCCCTTCCTCTCTAATTCAATAAAGAAAATAAATTAAAAATCAATAAATGACTTGTGGAATAGACTTGCATATTGACTCCTGGAGAGAGTTTAGGTTGTCTCCAGAAGCTATATCTTTCTGTAGGTTCATTGTTGACATCATCAATTTTAAGACTCTCAGCTCAGTTTTTCCTCCATAGTTGGAGTTGCTGTAAGTATTTGTGATGAGATTGCTAAAAACAAGGCAGCACTACTCAGTGCCATGCCCTAGTCTGAAAGGGGGAGAATCAAATCTTATTTCTCTACCCACACTTTGCATTATGTTTTAGTGAATTTTTTTGCTTTGTAACCAGGAAGTAGATAGTAGTTAGCACTGTCAAAAGTTGTGTTTTAAATATAAAAGCTCACGTTACATATTTTAAAGGTTGTAGGTAAAGATAGTTTCAGTTAGTTTATGTACTTGTGTCATGAATTTGCCTCATATGCATTAGGAATTCTGTTAATTGGAATTAGTTTTGACTGTTATGTGAAAAAATCCAGCCATGCTAACTTCATCAAGGTAGAGTTCATCCTCTCATGTACACGTCTCCAATGAGGTCGCTTGAAGAGTAGACCTCTTCTGTCTTGTTCCTTTAATATGTGAGCTGCTGTTTCCATGTCACCCTCATTTAAGACAGCTGTTTCAGGTTCATTCATTACACTTTTATATTTCAGCCAGCACAGAGGAGAAAAGATAAGGGTGTGTTCTTAACTTTAATAAAAGACATTTCCTAGACCTTGTTCATATCACTGCAACTTAGTGTTTGGAGTGTGCCCGTACTTAGCTGCAAGGGAGACTGGGAGATACAATCTTGATTCTGGGTATTCATGCACCCAGTGAAAATTGGGGGTTCTGTAGCTTAGGAAGAGGAGGAGAGTGGGTATTGGTGGACCCTCAGAAGTCTACCTAAGAACTATATTTAGGGTACGTCCCTGCTTGTCTTTGTGCGGAGATAATTTTTTTTCCCTCTTACATTTGATACAGAATATCGCCATCATTTCAGAAGCTGCCAGCTCAGGTATTTCATTACAAGCAGATCGGAGAGCCAAAAATCAGAGGCGACGAGTTCACATGACTTTGGAGCTGCCCTGGAGTGCTGATAGAGCCATTCAGCAATTTGGTAAGGTCCCACATGGAATTGCACTTAGTAGGGAATGGAATCACTAGGAACTGTGTGCATATCAAGGTCTGCATTTAATGTCAGACATCTTAAAACTTGACATACCTAGCCCTGACTGGTTCGGCTCAGTGGTTGGAGCGTTGGCCTGCGGTCCAGAGAGACCCAGGTTCAGTTCCCACTAAGCGCGAGTACCTCGGTTGCAGTTTGTCCCCGGCCCTGGTTGGTCGTGTGGGTGGCAGCCACTTGGTGCGTCCCTTTCATGTTGATGTTTCTCTCTCTCTCTCTTCCTCTTTCTCCCTCCCACTCTGTCTGAACAAAAAGTGGAAAAATGTCCTCGGGTGAGGATTAAAAAAAAAAAATTGACATACATGTAGAGTTTGGAGGTGTTTTTCTGTGAGTAGCATATACCTTAAAATAGGAAGTACATCAAGAATTCTTACCTGTTTTAAAAGATATAAAAGATCTGCAGTGGTGTTTGTGGCATTCTGTCCAAGAACAGGCCTCCTCAGGCCTTGAGGGTGTGCATGGCATGTCAGAGTGGCTGCCACTGAAGTCTTTTTCAACCACCAGGGACTCCACTGAGGGCATATAGCTCCTCCCCTCCCTTCCATTTCACGGCTCTGGTATCCAGTAACTAAACAAGATTTGGGGGGGGGGGGGGATCCAGTGCAGCTAAGGATCAGCAATGTTGTGGCTAACTAAACTGGGGAGCAGTAGTAATATCTTTACATTTAACAGTATTATGTTTTCCTCCTGTTTCAGAGTTTGTGGAGACCATCTTAGGGTTAAATGCTAGGAATAGATCTCTGCATTCTCTGTTTCTAGTGAACACAATGTGATTTTTTTAATGTGGTTACAGGACGAACTCATAGATCAAACCAAGTTACTGCTCCCGAATATGTCTTTCTGATTTCGGAATTGGCAGGAGAACAAAGATTTGCATCTATTGTTGCTAAAAGACTTGAGAGTTTGGTAAGTTTTTGAGTTGTGTAGATATGTGTAAAGGATGATATATGTTACCTGTCTCCTGTTTCTTGATTGGAAATTTTATATTTTGATAGGGAGCACTAACACATGGTGACAGAAGAGCAACAGAATCCAGAGATCTGAGCAGGTTCAACTTTGACAATAAGGTACATTTCATATTTTGGTCTCTGAGCTTTGGGGCCATGTTCTGTCTCTGTAGTATTCAAAGGGAAATGGGGGTGCTGCTTCCTCCTCTGGTTGCTGTCAAGGTTTCTCAGAGACAATAGGACAGGATTTCACACATCGTGAGGTGTTTAGTGATTGGCTCTGCAGTATAATCATTTTTTTATTCCTATTGGAAAATAGAAATACAACACATATTTTTGAAAGACTCAAATACGAATTTCACAGAAGTTGTTGATTGAGTGCTATGAGCAAATGTGTGAAGGTAGCACTAGGCAGTACAAAATATATATGAAGATAATTTAGTCCTGCTGTTTTTGAATCTTTGGTAAAATATTTTTATAGTGTTCAATTGATCATATGATTGAAGAATTACCCAAATACTAAAGCCGTTTTGTTTTGTTTTGTTTTTGCAGTATGGAAGAAATGCATTAGAAATTGTCATGAAATCCATTGTAAACCTAGATTCTCCGATGGTATCACCACCTCCAGACTATCCTGGAGAATTCTTTAAAGGTAAGTTTTTAAAAATAATTGTAACAGTCTTAACTGGTTTGCTCAGTGATTGGAGTTGTCTGCCTGCGGACTAGCTTCATGGGTTATATTCTGGTCAAGGGCACGTACCTCAGTTGGGATTTGTCCCTAGCCCTGTTCGGTATTGTACGGAAGGCAACCCATCTATGTGATTCTCTCACATCGACGTTTTTCCCTCTCTCTCTATCTACCCCCCTCTCCATCTGAATATAAATGGAAAAATATCCTTGGGTGAGGTTTTTTTTTTAATCCTCACCCAAGGATATTTTTCCATTTTTTTGTACAGATAGAGTGGGAGGGAGAGAGAGGAAGGAGAGAGAGAGAGAAACATCGACGTGAAGGGACACATCGAGTGGCTGCCACCCGCACGACCAACCAGGGCTGGGGACAAACCACAACTGAAGTACGTGCCCTTAGCGGGAACCGAACCCGGGTCTCTCCAGACTGCAGGCCGACGCTCTAACCGCTGAGCCAAACTGGCCAGGGCTGGGTGAGGATTTAAAAAAACAAAATATCATAACAGCCGGTCCTGTTTGGTTCAGTGGTTAGAGTGTTGGCCTGCGCACCAAAGGGTCACGGGTTTGATTGCTGCTCACGGGTGTACCTGGATTGCAGGTTCAAGCGCCATCCCTTGTCAGAGTGTGTGCAGGGCAAACAATACACCCCTTCCCTCCTTCCCTTCCCTTCTGTAAAAATCAATGGGGTGAAAGTCAATAGGGTAAAAAAATTCTGTGGTGAGGATTAACAAAAGTAAATAAATAAACTAATCATAACAAAAGAATATGAGTACTGATACAAAAGAAAGTTCTGAGTGGTGGTATGGAAATTCTTAAATCTATTTCACAAATCTGGAATAGCCTTTACCCCATAAATATAAGTAGTCCAGATGATTTTATTTATATTTTTCTTTATTGATTTTAGAGAGGAAAGGGGAGAGAGAGAGATAGAAACATCAGTGAGAGAGAACATCGATTGGCTGCACCCCGCATGCCCCTTCTGGGGATTGGGCTCACAACCTGGGCACGTGCCCTGACTGGGAATTGAACTGGCAACCTCTTGGTGCAGGGTCGACTCTCAACCACTGAGCCACACTGGCTGGGCTGACCAAATGATTTTAGTAGCTTAGGAAACTATGAAATATTTTGGAAAATAGGTAAATGTAAGAAATAGCTGTAAACTACTTGAAATGTCATTATAGAGTTAGAGAAGGTCCTTTCCAGTGGAACCAGGGTGTTCGAGTTGGCATGGTCCTCATAACCACTGCCCACAACAACAAAGCGGTGGCCCTGTTTTTGTCTCCCTCTCCCCCCCACCCGTTTTTCTTTCTTTGTCTCCCCCCCCCCCGTTTTTTTTTTGGTCATTGGAAGGAGTGTCCAAAATGATTCCTCAATTTATACCTTTTTTTTTTTTATCCTCACCCGAGGATATTTTTCCATTTTTTGTACAGATAGAGTGGGAGGGAGAGAGAGGAAGGGAGAGAGAGAGAGAAACATCGACGTGAAGGGACACATCGAGTGGCTGCCACCCGCACGACCAACCAGGGCCGGGGACAAACTGCAACCAAAGTACGTGCCCTTAGCAGGAACCGAACCCGGGTCTCTCCGCACCACAGGCCGACGCTCTAACTGCTGAGCCAAACTGGCCAGGGCAGTTTATACCTTTTTTAAATTACATGTTACTTAATCATTGTAGGTACTCAAAGAACCCTCACGTGTATAATGACAAGTCAGTGCTCTCTCTCACCTCCCACTTCCATTTCCACTGCCAAGGGCACAGATGCTGACAGTCTGAACAGGGACATCTTCCAGCATCTTCTCTCCATGTTCTTCTAGACACAACTTTTCTTTCAAATGTCATTAATATTACTTTTTTTAAAAATCCCCACCTGAGAATATTTTCACATTGATTTTCAGATAAACAGGGAGGGAGGGAGGGATAAACATCTACATGAGAGAGACACATTGACTGACTACCTCCTGCACAACCCCCATAATAGCCGGGGATCGAACCACAACCTAGACACGTGCCCTTGACCGGACTCAAAACCTAGACTCTTCTGTTCACAGGCTGGTGCTCTATCCACTGAATCAAACCTGCCAGGACTGCATTACTTTTGCAATGTACTTTTCACTTAGTACATTACAGACACCTCTGACAGGACAGTAGCTACGGCATACTAACATGTTTTTAATAGTTGCATAATGTTCTGCTAGCTTATGAAACAGTTTCTTATTACCTTTTTGGTATTCAGGTGGTTTTCCCTTTTTGCCATTACAGACATTGTTGAAGTTATAGCCTTCTGTACTGTATAGTTAATTTATGGATATACAATGGGTTCTCAAAAGTGGAAGCGTTTTTGCAGTGAAGAGATCTTTGACTACACAGTTACCATCCATAGAATCGAAACAATTTTTTTATTTTCAATCCTCATCCGAGGACATTTTTCCATTTTTTGTACAGACAGAATGGGAGGGAGAGAGAAGAGAGAGAGAGAGAGAAACATCGATGTGAAAGGGACACATCGAGTGGCTGCCACCCGCACGACCAACCAGGGCCGGGGACAAACTGCAACCGAGGTACGTGCCCTTAGCGGGAACCAAACCCGGGTCTCTCCGGACTGCAGGCCGATGCTCTAACCGCTGAGCCAAACCAGCCAGGGCAGAATCGAAACAATTTTGATTCTGCAGCAGAGTGCTAGCTGTGTAAGTGAATGTGTAAATACGATGTCGTCATGCTTCCTGTTGATCCTTTTCTCTCACTTCCTTATTCTGTAAGACATCAGTATTTTTTTTAATCCTTAGCTTAAGGTTATTTTTTGCATTTATCTTCAGACAGAGTGGGATGTAGAGAAGCGGGGGGAGAGAGAGAAACAAACATCGATGTGAGAGAGACACATCAAGTGGTCACCATCCACACGACTCCAACCGGGACAGGGAGAAACTGCACTGAACGAAGTACATGCCCTTAGCGGGAACCAATCCCAGGTCTCTCTAGTCCACAGGCCGACCCTCCAGCCATTGAGCCAAACCTACCAGGGCAGACACTACTATTCTTTAAAGCTCCGTAAACTGCCCTCTTAGTAATAGAATTCAGAACCTATAGACTCATACATGTGGCCTTTTTTTATTTGTTTGTTTTTTTTTTTTGGCTGCAATACTGATAGGTAGCATATGGGAAAGAAGCATGATTATACTCTTATTTACACAATTAGTGAAGGTAGTATATTGCTATGTGTTCAAAGTTGTTCAAATTCTGTGGGTAACACCTGTGTAGCCAAAGATCTCCACTGCCAAAGATTGCTGTTGGAAAGATAAGATTTTTAAAAATCTTAATTTTAGAGAGAGGAAGAGAGAGAGAAACATCAATTTGTTCTACTTCTTTATGTATTCATTGGTTGATTCTTGTATGTGCCCTGACCAAGGATTGAACCTGTAACCTTCGTATATTGGTGTAACCAAATGAGCAACCTATCTAGGGCCATAAGATTTTTTTTTTCTTCTTTATTGATTTTAGAGAGAGAGAAGGGACAGAAAGATAGAAACATCAATGAGAGAAAACACTGATGAGCTGCCTCCTATATGTCCTGCACTGGGGGTTGGGCTCACAACCCTGGCGTGTACCCTGACCGGAAACAGAACCGGCAACCTCTTGGTGCACGGATCCATGCTCAACCACTGAGCCACACCGGCTGGGCAGAGCCATAAGTGAGGCTTGAGCACTGTAGGATTTTTAGAGTGCCTAAAGACCTTTGGGGACTGTGGGTTCCATTTAATTTAGCTAATGGAAACTATGGAAGACACATCGGATGTGTCTTTTTTTTTTTAGATGGAAAGCGGGGAGGAGAGAGAGAAAGAAAAACATTGATGTGAAAGAGACACATAAATTAGTTGCCTCCCACACAACCCTGACCAGGGCTCGAACCTGCAACTCAGGTATGTGCCCTTGACTGGGAATCAAACCTGAGATGTGGTTGTAGGGCCAATGCTCCAACAAACTGGCCAGGGTCATAGGCTGTGTCTTGATGCTAGAACTTGATCTAGTGTGATTAGTCAGGTAACAGCTCATTTGGGCTATCAGATTTTTTTATTTTTTATTGGTTTATTATGTTTTTATTGATATTAGAGAAACATTTGATTGGCTGCCTCCTGCACATTCGCACCACCACCACCATTCCCCTCCACCCCCGGGAATTGAGCCTACAATCCCAGGCATGTGCCCTGACCAGGAATCAAACCGGTGACCTTTTGGTGCATGGGACGATGCTCAAACAATAGAGCCACATCATCCAGGGCTATCAGTTTTTTTAAAAATTTATTTTCTTACAGATGTTCGACAAGGACTGATAGGAGTTGGCCTGATAAATGTAGAAGACCGCTCAGGCATTCTCACTCTGGATAAAGGTAATGGTGTTAATGTGGTACACACACAGCTCTTGCTGTGTCCATAAAGCCTATTTTGTTGTTTATCCCTTTGTCAACTCAATGGGGAAGTTTCAAGACTGTATTTCTCCACCCTGTGATACTGAATGCTCAGAAAGAACGCTGCAGTTTCTTTCTGCTCTGGTCATTCAGAAGAGGGTAAACCTCTGTTCTGTCTGGATAGCAGCAGCTCTCAACCCAGGTTACTTATATGATCATCAGCTATTAAGCTTTTAAAAAATACTGAAGTCAGGGCTGTAGCTCAGATACGGGTTACCTTCCACAGCTCCAAGACATTCATACTGCAGCCAAAGGTGATCTTCACTGACTTGTAACACTTGACTAGGTAAGACTTGATGTTGGAGAATGAACACTTGTGTTAAATTGTGTTCATGCTTTTAGTAAGTGAAGTTGATAATGTGAACATTCAGTTTGGCAAACATCCTTTGAGCATGTACTATGGCCATGCTAGTTGCTAGAGGTAGAAATGGTCAATTTACAGCTCTTCTGGGAATAGTGGAGGAGTTGTGATGGAAGACTTTATACAGGACCAAGCCAGACTTTGAACTAAGTTTAGATAATAAAATTGAGATCACCAGTTTTGTGCATTAACTTTTTCATATAATCTTGTCATTGCAGATTATAACAACATAGGGAAATTCTTAAATAGAATTTTGGGCATGGAGGTGCATCAACAGAATGCATTATTTCAGTATTTTGCGGACACTCTCACTGCAGTTGTTCAAAATGCAAAAAAAAATGGAAGATATGATATGGGAATCTTAGGTAAGTGGGCAGTGTTTTATTTTTTAATTTATTTTATTTTATTTTTTATTTTAAAAATTTTTATTGTTGAATGTAGAATGTATTACAGATGTTCCTTATTTTTCCCCCATTGACCCCCTCCTCCCCACTCCCGCCCCCCTCCCACCTTTTCCCACACTATTGTCCGTGTCCATTGGTTATGCATATAAGTTCTATGGTTTATTTCTCTCCCCCCCTCAACCCGTTTCCCTTTGAGGTTTGTCAGTCTAGCAATGAATTTGTACCTCTTAATCCCTTCACCTTTTTCACCCATTCGCCCAACCCCCTCCCATATGGCAACCAACAAAATGTTCTCTGTATCTATGAGAATGTTTCTGTTCTACCTGTTCATTTTGCTTGTAGATTCCATTGTCAATAGATATATATTCATTGCCATTTTGTTTGTTCATATATTTTATCTTTTTCTTCAAAAAGACCCTTTAACATTTCATATAATAACAGTTTGGTGGTGATGAACTCCTTTAACTTTTTCTTGTCTGGGAAACTCTTTATATGTCCATCGATTCTAAATGACAGCTTTGCAGGATAGAGTAATCTTGGTTGTAGGTTCTTGCTTTTCATCACTCTGAATATTTCTTTTTTTTTTTTTATCCTCACCTGAGGACATTTTTCCATTTTTTGTTCAGATAGAGTGGGAGGAAGAGAGAGAGAGAGAAACATTGATGTGAAGGGACACATCGAGTGGCTGCCACCCGCACGACCAACCAGGACCGGGGACAAACTGCAACCGAGGTACGTGCCCTTAGCGGGAACGGATCCCGGGTCTCTCTGTACCACAGGCCGACGCTCCAACCGCTGAGCCAAACCGGCCAGGGCACACTCTGAATATTTCTTGCCTCTCCCTTCTGGCCTGCAAAGTTTCTTTTGAGAAATCAGCTGACAGCCTTATAGGAACTCCCTTGTAGGTAACTAGCTGCCTTTCTCTTGCTGCTTTTAAGATTCTCTCTTTGTCTTGAACCTTTTGCATTTTGATGATGATGTGTTTTGGTGTGGGCCTCTTGGGGTTCATCTTATTTGGGACTCTGTGCTTTCTGGACTTGTATGTCTGTATCCTTCACCAAGTTAGGAAAGTTTTCTGCCTTTATTGTTTCAAACAGGTTTTCAATTTCTTATTCTCGCTCTTCTCCTTTTGGCACCCCCAAGATGCAAATGTTGGCACGCTTGAAGTTGTCCCAGAGGCTCCTTACACTCTCCTCAGTTTTTTGGATTCTTTTTTCTTTTTGCTGTTCTGATTGGGCGTTTTTTGCTTCCTTATATTCCAAATCGATGGTTTGCTTCTTGGATTTACATACTCTACTATTGAATCTGTGTAAATTATTCTTTATTTCAGTTAATGCCTCCTTCATTTCTGACTGTGCATCCATCATTTCTGATTGATCCTTTTTTATGCTCTTGAGGCCCTCACTAAGTTCACTGAGGTTCTCACTGAGTTCACTGAGCATCCTTATAAGCAGTATTTTGAACTCAGCATCTGTTAGGTTGCTTATCTCCATTTCGCTTAGTTCTTTTCTTGGCGTTTTGTTCTGTTCTTTCATTTGGGACCTGTTTCTTTGTCTCCTCATTTTGGCTGCCTCCCTGTGTTTGTTTCAGTGTATTACTAAACAAGAGGTATGGGCTAGCTGAGACCAGATGCTGCTTGTTTGAAAGAATTTAGGAAAACCAAGGCAGGATCCCAGACAGGCCAATCCTATGGTTAAGCAAGTGGCAACAGCTTAGGTGGGCCTGAAGGTTGGGTGGGGCGGGGCCTCAGGGAGTCAGTAGGGCGGGGCTACCAGCGTGAGCCAGGTTGCTGGAGTCCCAGATTTGTGGGCTGTCTGCTGCCCCAGGGCAGGGCTCACCAAAGGAACAAAGGCCTCTGACAGCAGTTTGTCCCGGAGAAAGCCCCCTCTCCAGCCCTCGCTCCAGTGCCAAACAGATCAGTTCTTCCCTGTATGTCTCTGGTGCCCCTCGAGCTGCCTCCCCTCCGAGCTTAGAGGGAGAGAGTCCGATAAGTCCGTGCGCGGGCCCTTTAAGGAGCTGCCTGGGTCAGTTCCCGCTGGTTTTTCCAGCCAGAAGTGATGGGGATTCTCTTCCTGGCACTGGAACCCTGAGTGGGTCACCTGGTGAGGGACGGGAACCCCTCAGTCCTCAGGAAGGACCTTCTCAGCCGAGGTGTCCTCCTGATTTTTATCCGCCACACGTGGTGTGGGACCAGCCTGTCCCCTCCGCCCTCCTACCAGTCTCGATGTGGCTGCTGCTTTAATTCCGTGGTTGTAGGACTTCCGTTCAGCTTGATTTCAGGCGGTTTTGAATGATGGTGGTTCTGTAGTTTAGTTGTAACTTTGATGTGGTTGTGGGAGGATGCGATACCGCATTTACTTGCCATCTTGACCGGAATTCTCCTATTTTTTGTTTTTAAGATTATTATTGCTTTTTGAGAGAGAGAAGGAGGGAGAGGGAGAAATAGAAACATCGATGAGAAAGAACGATTTGCTGCCTCCTGCATGTCCCACACTGGTGATCAGGCCAACAACATGGGCATGTGCCCTGACCAGGAATGAAACCAGCGACCTCTTGGTGCTGGGTTGATGCTCAACTGCTGAGCCACAGCAGGCAGGCTAAAGAGTATTATTTTTTGCCCTGGCCAGTTTGGCTCAGTGGTTAGAGTTTCGGCCTGTAGATCGAAGAGTCACTGGTTTGATTCCTGGTCAAAGGCACATACCTTTGTTGTAGGTTTAATCCTCAGCCCTTGTTGGGTTCTGGTGGGAGGTAACCAATCTGTGTGTTTCTCTCTAATCGACGTTTCTCTCTTCTCCTTCCTTCCTCTCCTTTTTTATCTAAAAAAGCAATGGAAAATACCCTCGGGATATTTTTTCCATTTATCTTCAGCAAGAGTGGGAGGGAGGGAGAGAGAAACAAACATCAGTATGAGGGAGAGCCATCGATTGGTTGCCTCCCACACAACCCCAACCAGGACCAGGACCAAACCGAAACTGAGATATGTGTCCTTGACCGCAATCAAACACGTGACTCTTTGGTCTGCGGGCCAACTCTCTAACCAATGACCCCAACTAGCCAGGGCAAGATTATTTTTTAGAATATGTGTTTGTTGATTTTTAGAGAGAGAGGAAGGGAGAGGGGAGAGACGGGAAGAAACATTGATTGATTCCCTCCTGCACACCCCCTTACTGGGAATTGAGCCTGAAACTCGTGTTTCTAACTAGTGATTTCCTGATTCATTTGTCCGATGCTCAACCACTGAGCCACACTGGTTGGCCTTAAAATATTTTTTAAGCCGGTATTTTAGAGAAAGAGGAAGGGAGATAGAGAGGGAGAGAAAAACAGAGATTGGCTGCCTCCTGCCCGCTCCCAACCAGGGATTGAGCCCGAAACTTGGGCATGTGCTCTGACTACTCAAACCGGCGAACTTTCAGTGCATGGACAATGTTCAACCATGTGAGCCACACCAACCAGAGCAGTGAGAGAGAATTTAATCTTGTGTATTCCTGATAAAATATTCTTTTTACATTTATATGTTGCTTTTTCTTGTTTAAGATCTTGGTTCTGGAGATGAAAAAGTGAGGAAAAGTGATGTTAAGAAGTTTTTGACTCCTGGATATTCAACTTCAGGTCATGTAGAGTTATACACAGTAAGTCTGGAAGTCATGTGACATTCAAGTGTGATGTCCTGTGATAGATACACAATGAAGTGAGTTGAATTTAAAGGTTACTGTTTCTTTTATAGATAAGTGTAGAGAGGGGAATGTCCTGGGAGGAAGCTACCAAGATTTGGGCTGAGCTGACAGGACCTGATGATGGCTTTTACTTGTCATTGCAGGTAAGACTCGTTTCCTTCCAATGTGAACTGTCGAGCAGATGCTGTGTGTTCTCATCGCCAGCATTCTGACTCTCAGCTTGCTTTGCACTGTTTCTCCAATTATATCTCGCCTTTTTCTGTTTGATAATTTATCATTCTAATTGTTGGTTTTTCCATTTAGGTACAGTCATTCCTCGACACTTCGCGCTTTGACTTTCGCGGCTTCACTCTATCGTGGTTTTTTCAAATATTTGAAAGTCAAATCGTGAAGTGGAGAGGGACGAATTTATAGAAAGAATCCTACTTCGTGGAAATTCATCTATCGTGGTAGAGTCTGGAACTGATTAACTGCGATAAACGAGGGCTGACTGGACAGTTCCATTTACTATGTTTGAGGGTTGTTAATAGATGTAATTTAAATTTTTATTTACTTTTTAGAGAGAGCGTAAGAGTGGGGAGAGGCATTAACTTGTTCCACTTACCTATGCTTCTTGTATGTGCCCTGCCTGTGGATCAAACCTGCAGCCTTGGAGTATCAGGACAATACTCAAACCAGTTGTGTCCCTGAATTTTCATATAAGTGGAATCAGAAAACATTTGTCCTTCTATGTCTTCTTTCACTCAGCATAATGTTTTCAAGGTTCATGTGTGCAATGGCCTCTTTCAGATTCCATAGCTTTTTGTGACCGTGTTGTATTTCAGGGGGTTGGGTATACCCACTTTTGCTTTAAATTTGTAAATACATATGGAGTGACTGACTACAGATGAAGAGCTGCTTCAAGATGTATGTAGCCCCCTGGCCGGTTTGGTTCAGCGGTTAGAGCGTCGACCTGCGGTCCTGAGAGACCCGGGTTCGGTTCCCGCTAAGGGCGCGTGCCTCGGTTGCAGTTTGTCCCCGGCCCTGGTCGGTCATGCGGGTGGCAGCCACTGGATGTGTTCCTTTCACATCGATGTTTCTCTCTCTCTCTCTGTTCCTCTCTCTCCCTCCCACTCTACCTGAACAAAAAAAATGGGAAAATGTCCTCAGGTGAGGATAAAAAAAAAGTAAAAAAAAAAAAGATGTATGTAGCTGTATCGCCCTGGCTGGTTTGGCTTAATGGTTGGAGTATCAACTCGCAGAACAAAGAGTTGTGGGTTGATTCTGATCAAGGGCATGTACCTTGGTTGTGGTTTGTCCCTGGCACTGGTTGGGTCGTGATGGAGGCAACCAGTCGATTTGTCTCTCTCTCATCAATGTTTCTCTCCCTCCCCCTTTCCCCTCTCTCGTCTCCTCTCTCCTCTCCCCTCTTCCCCCTCTATCTCCTTCCTCAACTCTATCTGAAATAAATGTAAACATATTCTCGGAAGAGGATTAAAAAAAAATGTAGCTGCATCCAATGTAGCTTCTGTGGTGCTGCTGCAGGCAGGACCCGCGCAGAGAAGCTCTCTGGAGCAGGAGTCCTCCCTAGTTGCTTTCTGTAAAGAGCAGGTAGTCAGTGTTGTGGTCTCTGCTTTGTGTCCCGTATGGTGTGTGTGGTCCTCCCCACCCTGCACTGTTAAACTTGGGAGCCAGATTTGGTCCACAAGCCTGGTTTACTGGTCCCTGATCCAAGAGCAAAAGCTCTCCAACTGGATCTGGCTCCTACTTGTTTCTGTTTGTTTCTTTGCTTGCTTGCTTATTTGAAAATCTTACTGAGAAATTTATACATTCATATCAGGTTGTAAGAAGTAGTACAGAGAAATTTCTTTTTTTTTTTTTTAAGTATTTTTTTTTATTATGTTTTTTTATTTATTTTTTATCCTCACCCGAGGACATTTTTCCATTTTTTGTTCAGGTAGAGTGGGAGGGAGAGAGAGGAACAGAGAAAGAGAGAAGCATCGATGTGAAAGGAACACATCGAGTGGCTGCCACCCGCCCAACTGACCAGGGCCGGGGACAAACTGCAACTGAGGTACGTGCCCTTAGCGGGAACCGAACCCGGGTCTCTTCAGACCGCAGGCCGACGCTCTAACCGCTGAGCCAAACCGGCCAGGGCACAGAGAAATTTCTTGTACACCAGTTTCTCTAATGGGAATACTTTACAAAACTTGTATAACACCAAAACCAAGATTTTGATAAAATTCACCAGATTTTATCTCTATTTCTTCTTTAGATGGGATTTTGGTCAGTCTACATAGGGTAGTGATTATTGTTTTTCATTTCAAATTGTTGCCAGAGTTTAAAATGCGGATAGAATTTGATGAAAGTGCTGATGCCCAACTTTCTTAAGTGACAGGACATGGTAACATTGGTCTTTTTTTTACCTCCTGCAGGCAGCTCAATTCGAGGAGTGGTGTCTCTTGAAGGGGTATTGTTTTCTTTCTTTTTTTTTTTTTTATCCTCACTCGAGGATATTTTTCCATTTTTTGTACAGATAGAGTGGGAGGGAGAGAGAGGAAGGGAGAGAGAGGCAGAAACATCGACGTCAAGGGACACATCGAGTGGCTGCCACCCGCACGACCAACCAGGGCCGGGGACAAACTGCAACCGAAGTACATGCCCTTAGCGGGAACCGAACCCGGGTCTCTCCGGACCGCAGGCCGACGCTCTAACCGCTGAGCCAAACCGGCCAGGGCGAAGGGGTATTGTTTTCAGAAAGGTGTAGCTGTTTGTCTTTGAACCCCCATCACAAACATGCTTTACAGCATGTTTCACATGTGATAACTTTAGGAAAACCATGTCAGAATCACTTTTATTTCCTCTATATTGTGATCGTTTATAATTACAATGCAGTGGATGAGTTGGACACTACCAAGTCAGATCACACTGTTATTTGTTTGAAACATTCTGCTTTCAGTATAATAAGTTTAACAAATGTTTTACATCAACAGATAAAAAGAAATTGAAAAATGTTATTTTCACCTTAACCATTGTTTTATAGACTTTCCAGAATTATATAAACAATGTTTCAAATCTTTAAAGCAAGTAAAAGAGAGCGGATCCTAAATATCCACGAAGAGAAAAGTAAAAGGTTCTCTTTTTCTTTTATCAGTGTAACAATGACCTTTATATAAAAATTTAGTTGCTCAGCCGTGGCTGCTTTGGCTCAGCGGTTGGAGCGACGGCCTGTGGACTGGAGAGTCCCGGGTTCGGTTCCTGCTAGGGGCACATACCAAAAAGAAAAATTTAGTTGCTCAGCAGAATATTCATGTTGTAGAGGAGCTGGAAGACTGTCTTTACTTTGAAACTTTTATGTTTTTATTTATTTTTTTTTAAAAAGGGAGAGACGGAAAGAGAAACATGGTTGTGAGTGAAACATTGATAGGCTGCCTCCTACTCGCCCCCTGCTGGGAATTGAGCCTGAAAACTGGGCATGTGTCCTGGGACAGCATTCAATCCACTGAGATGCTCCGGAAAGAAACTTTTCTTTTTCTTCCAATTTTTCCCCCAAGAATTATTGCTTAGTCATTGTTAACCATTCTTTAAAAGAGCTAGTAATTTTCCAATTATGTTTTTTCTTGAATTAAATGCGATTTTTTTTGTTGTTGTTCTTATCCTCACCCGCGAACATTTTTCCAGTTTTTGTTCAGATAGAGTGGGAGGGAGAGAGAAGGAGGGAGGGAGGGAGGGGGAGAGAGAGAGAGAGAAACATTGACGTGAAAGGGACACATCGAGTGGCTGCCTCCCACACAGCCCAACCAGGGCTGGGGACAAACTGCAACTGAGGTACGTGCCCTTAGCGGGAACCTAACCTGGGTCTCTCTGGACCGCAGGCTGATGCTCTTAACCGCTGAGCCAAACCAACCAGGGCCTAATGCGACTTTTTATAATTCCTTCCTCCTAGATTTTCTTTTATAAGTTTGACTTAAAAATGTATTTTTGTAAGTTGCATTGTTTGCCTAATGCATTCTTTTCTTCCACTTCTACATACATAATTAAGGTAGTTCTTGTTCATCATTTTGGCTTTCCCCATCACAGCTCTATTATTTACAGGCAGTTATGTGCTACCTCATTTCCCCCTATGGCAGCCATAGGAGTAGGTGGCCCCGGTGGGTGAGATGAATTCAGTGGACTGTGGGTGATCAAAATCATTTTCTTGGAAGCTTTACTTTATTGTGATTTGAAGGAGAGTAACATTATTATTATTACTTTGTTTTCATCCTCACTCGACATTATTTCATTGTTTTGTTCAGATAGAGTGGGAAGGCGGGGGGGGGGGGGAGAAACATCAACATGAAAGAGACACATCAAGTGGCTGCCACCCACACGACCCAACCAGGGCCGGGAACAAACTGTAACCGAGGTACGTGCCCTTAGCGGGAACTGAACCCAGGTCTCTCCAGACCACAGGCCGATGCTTCAACCGCTCAGCCAAACCAGCCAGGGCAAGAATAACATTATTTACAGCACTTTATTACGAAAAATTTTAGCCATCCAGTAGATATAAAATAATTTTTTTGATGACAGGGGAAAAAGGAAAAAAGAGGGAGAGAAACATTGATGAGAGAGAATATTGATTTGCTATCACCTGCATGCCCCCCACTGGGGATTGGGCCCACAACCTTGGGCATTTGCCCTGACTGGGAATGGAACTGTCTAACTGGTGCATGGGTCGATGCTCAGTGAGCCACACTGGCCAGGCTAAAATAATTTTTTTTAAATGTGTTCTTACTGATTTTTTTAGAGAGAGAGGAAGGTAGAGAGAGAAAGATCGATGTGAGAGAGAAACATCAGTCGGCTGCCTCCTGCGCGCCCCCTAGTCGGTATCGAGCCCACAACCCCAGGCGTGACCTTAATTCAAACCAGGACCTCCTTTCCTACCTCACATGTCTCAGTCTGTTTGGGCTGTGAGTCAGGTACATGTATCAGAATATGCAAAGTGTCTCTACCGGGCATTTAGTCTTTTAAAGCTTATTCAAAACAATTTTTGTTGTTGTTGTTCATTCCTCACCCAAGAACATTTTTCCATTTCTCTTCAGATAGAGCGGGAGGAAGGGGGAGAGGGAGTGAGGGAGAGAGACATCGATATGAGAGGGACACACCCACCCATTGCCTCCCACACGACCCTGGCCAGGGCCGGGAGGGGGGGACAAACTGCAGCTGAGGTACATGCCCTTAGAGGGAATCGAACCCGGGTCTCTCTGGACCGCAGGCTGATGCTCTAGCCACTGAGTCAAACCGGCCAGGGCGAAAACAATTTTCAACCAGGGTTTAAAATCATTTTCTAAAGAATGTCTTGGCCCTCAGCATATGTCTTCAGCCTCCATCAGAATTAAGGTCCAAATGGCCTTTACTGTGGAGAGACATTAAACTCTGTTACGCAGCTGTTGCTGTCCTTTCTCCTGGCCCTGTACTCACGTGCTTGTGTTTGACATTGCAGTGTTTAAAGGATATTATTGGATGTTGTGATGACACCAGAAACTAGCATCTCTTAAAGCGCACAGTAACCAAACTATATTTTCTCTTTTTTTCTCAATAGATAAGGAACAACAAGAAGACAGCCATCTTAGTTAAAGAAGTGAACCCAAAAAAGAAGCTCTTCTTGGTTTATAGACCAAATACTGGGAAACAGCTCAAATTAGAAATTTATGCTGATCTAAAGAAGAAATATAAAAAGGTATTTTTTCATTTGTATTCTATGCTGTTTATAAATAAAATTTTGTTTACATATAAAACTTTGTTGATTTCTTCTATTTGATCACTGGAAAAGTGTTCACAGAAAAAACAATTGATCAAACTTGGTTATATTAACATCCATTCCAGTGTTAATGTTATCTACCATTAAGAAATCTGTAAGGTCATTATTTAAAATAGCTAGTGTTGTTAGAGATGAAAGCTTTCAGTAAAATTAGAAGTATTTAAATAAAGGGAAGATGTGCAAGATTATATTTCTTCCCACCAACTATGGTTTTATTATGAACTGCTCTGTTTGTATTTTGCAATGATTGCTTGAAAAACAGTGAATGACTCTGTTTTTCTTAACATCACTATTATTATTTTACTATTATTGTTACCTTGTACTACTATTCTCCTAGCCTTTGTCACTTGGAAACAATTATAATTAAGATAGCTATTTGAAAAATTTGTTACGTAGGAGGAACCTCATTACAGAAGTTGATAATATGGCCATCAGATGCAACCAGTAGTAGCAAAGGCCAGGTTTTTTGTACAGAGATAATTTTAAATTGGCTACAGACCAGATTAGGTAGCCAGAATGTATCAAACAGTTTTGTTTCAATGGAGTTTTTGTCTTCCTTTCACAGGTAGTTTCGGATGATGCCCTGGTTCACTGGTTAGATCAGTATAATTCATCTGCAGACACTTGCACTCATGCGTATTGGTTAGTATTTTGTTTCTCACCATATGTTTCAAAGTGTCATTAAGATTTAATTAACCATGTCTTTACTCTGTAGCGCTCTGCTCCTGTAAGTACATGAGTACATAATGCATTGTATGCGGTGGCTCCCTTCAATCAGCAGTACTTGTGGGAACTGTGTGGACTGCACACTGTAGTCTCCCTCTGCGAGACTTTGCTACTTCCAACCAGCTGTCATCTGAGCATGGGGCTTAAGTATCATTCTCAGTGTTAACACAATTTCTCTCCATCCTTGTCTTCCTTTATTTGTTTCTTTCTTTTCTGTCTCTTTTTTAAAAGCTTTCCTGATGTCCCAAATCAGTTTTAATTTGAGGGCTAGGGAACTCAGAGAAGACCATGGAGAAGGTGCGAGTAGCTAACAGCACCAGAAAGCTTTGTTGTTGAGCCCTGGGCTGCTGTTGCTCCGCTGCTTGGCTAGCAGGGTGCTCTTCTGACGCCGGGCACTTCTGTGTTCAGTGTTTTCTCATCCACTAACTAGTGATGGGGTATCTGGCCCGTTTTATGCAAAGGAATATAAGATACAGATGGATTTTAGCTAGATTTTATTTTTATTGATTTAGGAGAGAGAAACACCGATTTGTGGTTCCACTTATCCATGTATTCATTGGTTGGTTTTTTTTTTTAATGTTTTTAATGATTTTTTAGAGACAGGAAGGGAGAGAGAGATAGAAAATAGATACATCGATATAAGAAACATCGATTGGCTGCCTCCTACACACCCCCCTACTGGGGATGAAGCCCGAAACCCAAGCATGTGCCCTGACTGGGAACCAAACCAGGACCTCTCACTCCATGAGATGATGCTCAGTCCACTAAGCCACACCAGCCGGGCTATTGGTTGATTCTTGTATATGCGCTGAACAGAGATCGGGCCACAAATTTGGGGTATCGGAATGACACTCGTAACCAACTGAGCTATCTGTCTAGGGCCTAGGTTTTTTAAATTTTCTTTTTATTTTTACACATGTGTAAATTGATAAATTTGCTTTGTTTTTGGGTTTTCTTCCTCACCTGAGGATATTTTTCTACTACTTATCAGGTAGAGAGAGACACAGAAAGAAACATTGATGTGATAGAGCCACATCAACTGGTTGCCTCCTGCACGACCAGACTAGGGCCAGGGACAAACTGCAACCGAGAGGTACGTGCCCTTGACCGAAATTGAACCCACAACTCATTGGTCTGAGGGCTGGTGCTCCAACCGCTGAGCAAAACCGGTCAGGGCCTGATGAATTTGCTTTGATATGAGTAATGTTTTGTTTTTCTTTTGTGTTTAAATTGGTGCTGTTAGAAATTATCTTAGAAGGTGAAACATATTAAGGGTTCACCTACAAACATTCTCTCTAAAAAATATTTGGTTTGAGTTGTGGCTTTAAAAAAAAGTGCCCTAATACTGTATGTTGATCTTGAATTAATACTGGAAAGATCGCCCAGCTGCTGGGGATCAGGGGTTGAGCGTCGACCCTGCATCAAGAGGTTGCTGGTTCAATTCCCAGTCTCAGGGCATGTACCCAGGTTGTGGGCCCAGTCCCCAGTGGGGGGCATGCAGGAGGTAGCCAATCGATAGTCTCTGTCATCGATGTTTCTGTCTCTCCCTCTCCCTTCCTCTTGCTAAGTCAATAAGGAAAAAATTGGAAAGATGTTTTTATTGATGAATTGGGGAAATAATTTTAACCATAAAATTTTGATGTGTCTTTGTTTCACAGTTTTTAAATAAATGTATGTGCCTTTATTTTGTTTGCTGAGGCTTTTCTCACTTACCTGAAATACTATAAAAGTAATTGGCAGGATTATGTTATAAGATAGCATTAATGTAGTAATATCCACGGTAAACTAATGGGTATTTAAAATGACTAATACTTAGGTGGATATAAAATCAGTAAATCAGCCATTTTATAAGGAGTCAGGCCCCCCAAATAGCTGCAATTTTAAAAATGAGGTGTGATGCCTGGCTGGTGTGGCTCAGTGGATTGAGTGTTGTTTCATGGACTGAGAGGTTCTGGTTCGATTCCCGGTCTGGGCACATGCCCAGGTTGCTGGTTTGATCCCTAGTGGAGGGCATGTAGGAGGCAGCCGATCGCTATTTCTCACATTGATGTTTCTCTCTCTCTCCTTTCCTCTCTGTAGAAAAAAATTAAAATAAAAAATCAGTATTGGTGCTGTGGCCTGTTGCTCAGTGGTTATAGCATTGGCCTGTGCACTGAAGGGTCCTGGGTTTGATTCCCCAGTCAAGAGCACATACTTGGGTTGCAGGTTCCATCCCCTGCCCCAGTTGGGTGCATGTGGGAGGCATGCTGTCTCTCTTTCACATTGATGTTTCTCTCTCTCTCCCCTCCCGACCCTCACCCCCCACTCTCTCTAAAAATTAATGGGAAAGTATCCTCAGGTAAGGATTAACAAGAAATCAGGTGTGGTGGCTTACATTGGAAGGATAACTCAGTAGGTGGAAAGGAGTGTGATCTAAGAAACTGTCAGTAGATGCAGCATCCTCCACTTGAAATTTGGATGGACATTGGGAGCCTTTGTGTGTGTTCATAAAAATTTCTGTCCTCTCTCTCCTAGGCGCGGCAATTGCAAAAAAGCAAGCTTGGGATTAGTTTGTGAAATAGGTCTTCGTTGCCGCACGTATTATGTATTATGTGGCTCAGTACTGAGCGTCTGGACAAAAGTTGAGGGTGTTTTAGCATCTGTCAGTGGCACAAACGTGAAAATGCAGATAGTTCGGCTAAGAACAGAGGATGGACAGCGGATTGTAGGTGAGTCTAATTTTTTTTTGTTTGAGCTCTGGGAAAAACTAAGATCTTGTTTTTTTCTTATTTTGCTTCTTCCATCTTAGAATCTTACCATCTGTTCTTGTAGTGGGTTAGAGCTTGCTTTATATGTTCTTAAAATGTTGAGTAGAAGTTAAACGTTTGGACATTGCTGATTCTGGTTAAAGTTCTGGGGTGGTCTTTTATTTTATGCTGCTCTTGCCCCTCTTCCTCCCTATTGCCATCTATGCATGCTCCCTGGTGTGAAGACTGAACTCAGCCTCTTGCCCGGGATTGTCTGAAGTCTACCATGTTAGGTTCATTGAGCCAGATTGAGATTATGAAACTCAGAGCCACTGCACAAAGGATGGAGGGGTGTCCTGCAGGGGCTGGCTGTTCCCACCACTTCCTCTGTTCTGGGCTTCCCAGGGACGACAACCCCCCCCACACACACACACACACACACAAGCTCTTGTAGTTCGGCACTGCTTTTTCTGTACTGCTTGCACCAGCCTGTGTCATCCATTGCAGATTGGCAGCCCGCGGCCAAAGCCAATCCATGAACACTCTTTTGACCCTAAGGTATTTTTTTTTTTAAAGTAGGAGTGAGTGAGAGGTACACGTCAACTGGTTGCCTCCCGCACAACCCCAGACAGGGACGAACTACAACCGAGTTATGTGCCCTTGGCCAGAATCGAACCCGGTACTCATTGGTCCGTGGGCGGACACTCTACCACTGAGCCAAACCGGCCAGGGCAACCCTCACGTATTTTGGGCTGCAAGTTTTCATTTATTTGAATTAGTTGCCAACATATTAAATTAAAAGACCTGGGTTTTCATCTTCCTTTTAAAAAACACAGCTTCTCTGGAATATTGAGTCCCCCGTTCCCACCCTGGGAGAAATAGCTTTCCCTACGCAGGGCATACACTGTCCGGTTTGCTAGCATCTGCCTGCTTCAGTCATCATTTGCATTTGCAGCCACAACTCTGTAGTCTTTTTGTTATGTCAGTACCTCCCAAAGAAAGCGGTGTTTGTACACGGTGGGGCACTACAGAGAATAGATAGGAAGGTACTGTACCTGACCTTCTGTTTGTCCACCCAGAAGCTGGTGTGACCTGAAGGCACATGCTCAGGTGTTTGTGGGTAACGCTGCTGAGGAATCAGGTTCCTTCTGAAATAGCCTTTTTTGTTATGAGATATTTGTTTAGTCTTTGTGCGGAGCCCTGTTTGCTGGACTTAATATTATTCCCCATTAGGAGTTTTCTGTGCATTGTAAAGCACTGTGTAGTTTCTCCTGGATGCGGCCTTTAAAATCCCGGTTTCTGTTGGCAGGTTTGATCATCCCTGCAAATTGTGTGGCTCCTCTTGTAAATCTCCTGTCAACTTCAGACCAGTCCCAGCAGCTCGCGGTCCAACAGAAACAGCTCTGGCAGCAGCGCCACCCCCAGAGCATCGCCAGCCTGAGCAACGCGTGAGAGCAGACAGGTCCCAGCGTGGCTGCTTCTGAAACGCTGTCACAGCGTGTCGTTTGCATAAAAATCAGGGACAGTTTCCAAAGAATTATACTTTTTTTCAGTTGTGCTCTCTCTAGTTAATTTTTTGGGGGAATAAGGACAAACCTGGAATAGATAGCAAAACTGAAATCAACGTGCCGATGGTGGCGCACGCCTTCTTCTGTTCAGCCGCGGTCCTCCCGCATGCTTCTGCTGGGGCAGAGGGTGTGTGCGTGCGTGTGTCCGTCTGTCTGTCTGTCTGAGTTTGTTAAAGGCCACGAACCACAGTTGGTTTAAAAAGGCTTGGAACTTCCCTTACTGGCTTTCCTTAATGTTCCACAGTGCTCAGGGTTACCGCAGGACACCCATGCTCTTGCTGAGGGAGTTATCCCCAGATGCATGTGTTTTGGGTCTATAAATATAGAAAATATATATTGGTTTCTTTTCCAACTTACTAAACACTAGGTTTATTAAAGCATGAAATGAAAGGTTGCACATCACACATTCAGGTTCTTTTCTAGTTTCTGTTCTGACAGTGCATGTCTTTTGAAAGCATGCGTAAACAAGATTAAAAGATGTCACGTGACAGAGAGAAACATTTGTAGGTGTGTAGCATCGGTCACTGCAGTTTTACCATGTTTATACCTGGTTATTGCTTCTAACCCTGTGACCCCTTCCTCCCCAGCCCCATTCTCCCTGCCCCAGGTTTCTTGTTAAGGTGATAAGTACAGACATTTTCTTTGTGATAAAACTCTTAAAAAGTTAATTTTAATGTATTAATAGTATTCCTAATGAGTGCTGCAAAAACGGCTATAAGCCCGCTTTTCTCAAAATTCCATTTTCCTTAACTTAAGATAGTTTTAGAAAGAAGTACAAATCAGCTTCCATTTTGCAAACCATCTTTTTTTACTTATTATCTTACTATGTTGGTCACTCATAAAAAAGGAAACCGTACTTGAGCTGTAAAGTAGACAGTGAGGAAACACTTGAGGCTTCTGCTGTGTTTATTTCTTGTTATTGTTGTTACCCAGTAACTTGAATATTGTTTAATGTGTTGTAAGACATTGTAGAGTTTATCTCAAGCTGTTAAAAATGGTAATGTACAAATGTGAATAGACACTTATCTATAATATGGATAAGTTTCGTTTCGCCTATAATAGATGTTTTATAAAAACAAGTGAGGGGACAATTGGTCTTTTTGTTTCCCTTTTTTTTTTTTCTTGCACAGGTTGCACTATTAAAACATTGAGATTGTATAAACCTGGTCGAAAGCTGCAGGATACACCATCTTGCAGATGTGAAATAAAAGTTGTTATCCTAACCAGCAGTGGACTCTTGTTTAGGCCCTCACCACCTGCAGGCGCAGTCCGATGGGTTCTGCAGAGCTCCGAGGGTGCTCAGCACGTTCTGGCTTAACACCCACCCTCCAGGTGAGACAGTGCTGAGGAAGGGGTGAGCCCGCTAGTGCCTCTGAACGCTTCTCCAGTTGCATTGCTTTCCTGTGCTACTTTAGACCTCTCAGAATCAGGTGAGGTGGATGAGAAGGGATGAAAAGCTGGGCTTTTGTCTTTGTTTCTTTCCAGTCATGTCTAGTTCCGTTGTGTCAGGTTTACCACAGGTTGGCTTTCTTTGGATTCATTCATTCCTGATGCGTAAAAGAACAGATGGAGAAAGACTTCTGTTCTCTGGCACGGTTTGCCCAGTGGGTGCGACTTTCATCTCCAGTGTAGTCCTCCATCTCAGGCAGTGGTCCACGTGAATGTCTGCCAGTGTCCCTTGTGGCGGCTGCTCGACCCAGCTGGCAGCCAAGAGCAGAATTGTTCCACCTGCAAGAGTGCTCCCAGGTGTCCGTTTTTAAACCAGCGGCTCAGTCAGCTCTGCGCACATGCTAAGGTGAAGTAGAGCTGAGTTCAGGAAGCTTAACGAACTGCCCACGCCAGTGAGGCAACTGCATGGCTGGGCAGGAAGACAGACTCTCAGAGGCTGTTGGCCAACTTCCCTTTTGTGCACATGGGGGTCTTGAGAAGGTGATGGTGTTTTCCAGGCAGCGTCTTTATGAGGATTCTTTAGCCTGCAATTAGTTGACCCCCACAGTTTACGATGTAATGTTTGCTCTTGGAATAGCTACCTGATGCAAAGGGGTGTAGGTGGATGTTATGTTTTTGGTAGAACAGCTTTGTTTTGCTTTTTAAAAATAAGGTCCAATAATAAGGCCTCTGAATACTCTTATTAGACCTCAAAAAGTCACCTTTTCATAAAAAGTGGATGGGGAACTGAGGTGCCCTGTGCTCCTGCCCTGCATGGGGTGGTGTGCCAGAGCCTGCTTCCCATCCCCCTTCCTGGAGGAGAGCATATGACCTTTACACTGTGCCCTTAGCCAAGTCAGCAAGTTCAGGTTGGCCAACATGGGGAACCCAGCATTCAAGGTCCTCCTCTGTCAGAAAACCAGGTCTCAGCAACAGCTGGCTTCCTTAAAGCAGGCCTACGTATTTCAGGCTCTGAGTGCCTCGTCTGAACCCAGGGGCTCTGCTGAACCCCATGGGAGTCCGTTTGGCCTCTGCAACGCCTTCTCTCCCGTTTAGCAATACGGCTCTGAGCACAAAGATTTGATTGTAAGTACGTTAGTTTATTCAGAGTTTACAGTGTCCAGAGCTGCTCAGATGGTACCTCAGGGGAATTGGTGTTCCCCTGATTTAGCAACCTTTGCACCACAAGGTCTGTCAGCAGTTTAGTGGGTTATCCAGATAGGCGTCAACAGTGTGAATTCCTAAAGGTATACACAAAGCACTTCTTTAAACACAAGTTGATCAAAAAGTAAATATCTTAAGCAGTTTTTCCTCTTTGCTGCTAAGTTGCAGATACCTTCATCAATGTCTTTGCACCCCTTGTATATAAGTTAGCAAGATCTTGTGTCCAAAGCAATGTAGCAGTGTGTGTGTGTGTGTGTGTGTGTGTGTGTGTGTGTATTTATTGCAGTCCAGCTACTTAGCACTCCAGAAACCTTGTTGCAGCAATACACCTTTTAGTTTTATTTTGCCTCATCTGTAAAGGTAAAAGGTACAGATTTCCAAACTCCTGGGAAATATAGTATTTTAGAGGCAGAGTTTTCTGGCTTGAGCCCTTGGGCATGTGTGTGCTAATGGCTATAGGAGGCTGTTACCCGCAGCAGGCTTGACAGGACTGGGCACCAGGTCAGCATTTATAGTGTTGTGACGGGATCCCTTTCCCTCTGCCTCCACTTTCCAGTTTAGCAGGAGGGAAAGAGCAGTAGACTAGAAATAATAAATGCGTCTCAACTTAAAAAAGTAGGAGCAGAGGCCAGGTATTTTCCCTTTGGGTCCTTTTCTCAATACGAGATTTAAGAGGAAGGTCCCGATCTAAACACCTTCATTTTGAAAACAGGCTCGAGTGATATTTGATAGTTCCTACGAAGGGTGCTTCATGAGAGCCCTGTTGGGCTGGGATCCATTTAGCCTATGTCCTTAGCTCAGGCTTCAAGGTAAGAATTGGCAGCCACTCTACTTGTCAACGACCCTCCCTGTGCCTGGGGTCTCCCTGGTAGCACCACATCCGTGCACACACACCGTGCACACTTGGCTGCTCATAGTCCGTGCAGCTCAGTCCACACAGCTCCCAGTCCATGCCTGCCGCTGTGAGCAGAGACCATGCGCATCAGTTTCCCCATGGCTGCCAGTGCCGCCGCACAGGTGCACGGGCGGGCAGGACGTACCTGTGGGTCCTGCAGCTCAGGATGGCAGTCCTTTCTCTGAGCCCTTGCCGCCGAATCCACAACCCACCTTCTCATTTATGCTGTACTTATATATATGTACATAAGTGTGTATGTATAGCAATGTCGACTTTTGAATTCTGAATGTAAATATTTCATGTAAATCGGGACCCCCTACCAACTGGTTTCCCCCCTTTCCTGCCTCCCTTTGATCCTATTTATTCTTTTCTTTATTTCCCATACTGGGCATCTTATAATTTTTTTTTCTTTTAATGTAGAAAAGTATGAAAACTTCTTAGTTGACTTTACTTGACATATTTTAGAATTCAGTTTTACATCTTTGCTATGATTCCAATGTGTGTTTTGTGTTAATATTTTTCAATATGCCTGTTTTGCGTTTTTATTACAAATTTTTACTGTGTGCAATGCATTGTATTGGGGGGGTGTACTTGAGTGCAATTTCTGATACTGTCATTATATGACTCGTTATGCTCATTTATGTTGCTCTTTGGAAGCTATAGTGAGCCTGATATTTTCACATTAAAAAAGAAAATTCTTCCCAGGACTTCTTTCAAGCTCCTCTAACTTCTTCAGTGCATTGGGGATCAAACGTAGTTCTTTAGTAAACCCCCTTGTTCCCAGCCTTGCAATTTTTCAACTCTTCAGATCTGCACTAAATTCCACATCTGCAGCTCTTCCAGCTGGGAGAAAGATCCTGCAGATCCGAACAGTGAGCTATGTCCTCTGCTGCTGCAAATTCCTGTGCTTCTCCAAGACGCCAGGCCTGTCCTTCTGACCTGTGAGTGATCATCAGAAATGTCCTGTGCAGTGAGCACAGGTGATCTGCTTCTGCCCTCTCCTGTTGGAGAGGTGTAGCAGACAGGGAGACGGGTGACACTGGGCAGGGTACTTGAAGGAGTAGCTAGCTGTCCTCCCAAAGAGCAACAGCACTGCTGTGGAGGCTCCACGAGCCTTCATCTCATGGGTGGGTTCTGTGCTGAGAGTAAAGCAGGCAGTTAGCTGAGAAAGGACTCGCCGTAGGGCCCCTGAGCTGTCACTGGCGTTGTACTGGTAACTGCTCCTGACTGAATCCGCCACCCCCAGGGCTGAGCTGGACCGAGGCTTCTTACGGTCAGTGTTGCCAGCAGGGAGATCCAGGGTGGCTCCTGAACCCACGTGGTGGGGATTGTCACCTGAGAGGCAAGCATTGCTGTTGCATGCACAGATTCTGCACCTTGAAGGAAATGTTTCTCTAACTTTCAGGGAAGATTGCCGAGAGCATATTTTGGGCCTTTCATTCGCGAACGCGTTTCATGCATTACTGTGGAACTTGGTAGATTTGCTGAAAATTTCACAGTTGTCTGAGCCGACTAGGTCATGGAGTGGGGCCTGTCCGAGAAGCGCGGGCATGAACCCCCTTCCACCCCCGCCGGCTGGCTGACCCTCCTTGCAGCAGCAGCCACATCCTCTGCAGCAACCTGGCAGGGCACAGGCCAGCCCAGACCGTCCCTTTAGTGTAGTCAAGCAAGGGACCAACCAGCCTGGGGAATTGAGAAGGCAGGCCCGAAGGTCAGCCCGCTCCTCCCCCTCCCCCCCGCCCCCCGCCCCGCCCCGCCAGGGCTCGTTCTGCTGTGACAGTATCTTGGCACTGAAGAGGGTGAAGAAGCCTGAGCCTCCTTTCTGACTTCCATCTAGGGGGCGGTGCAGGAGCTTGTTTTCTACGCAGCACATTCACGTCTCCTCGCCGCCATCAAACAAAGATCATCCTGTCCATGGTTTATACTGAATTTGCAAACTACTGATAATTGTTTTTCAATACCACTTGTATCTACTACCATCAACCATGGGAGGTGGGAAGAGAGAGGTACTCGGTATCTCTGCAATAAAATTTCCGCCAGGTTCTACCTCCGCTGAGCAAAGGATACTTTTATACGTAGGTGTAGACCCCCCTCCTTCACTAACCTGACATGGTGCATCTTGAGACAACACGATGGAAGTCCAAAGACAATCTGAAAACAAAGGTGGATGTAAACTCTCTGCATTGTTTTTATTTCCGTATCTTTTTTTAAGTCTCCCCTTTGATACTGCTACTCTGTGTGAATGTCCGTCCGTCAGTATGTGAAGGGTTCGCACTGTTCTGATACTGCACTGCGCTGTCCGGCTCCCGTGGTAACCAGGACCCAGTGTCCAGAAGCGACTGTTCCACCATTCTGATGCGGAACTCTCCGAATCGGGTCTCATGCAATAAAAACGTATTGGGCTGCATTGAGCGAGGACTACCCTCGCTAGTAAAAACGATCAACCATGAAGCGTAACAAATTCTGTGTTTAGTTGTTGTGGTGGGTTTTTTTGTTGGTTTTTTGTTTTCTTTTTTTGTAAGATTCTTAAATAAATTAAACCCGCTAATATGCCTCCTCTCTCCGTGTCGTCTTTGGGTTCTGAGCTGTATTCTTGCACACACGCTCACCTGTAGAGCGGCTCTTACGTGGCCTTGTACCAAAGTGAACTGCAGGCTTGGGTTGTGGGTAAGATGGAACCTGGTGCTCGGGAGAGCAGTTAGACCACGCTAGGCCTGGCCGGAGGCCCTGCTTTCTGCCACCGTTGTGAGACTCGGGTCTCCGAGTGTCTTCCTGGACAGAGGCCACAGAACAAGGGTAGCCACGAGTGTTGGAGGACTTGGGTAGGAGACTGCGGAGAATCCATTCCTGGTGTGGAGCAGCCATCCAGCCCACGGCCCAGATTTAACCTGTGCTCGCAGGAAGAGCAAACGCCTGCGCGGCTGGCTGCTGCTCACTCCACAGGCCTCGGGCCTCAGCTTGCAGGGGAAGCCCCTCCCAAGCTGTGCCAGGCATTTTAGTTTTCCCTTCTTGTGCTATTGGTACCTGAATTTATTTATTTATTTTTATTTTTTTATCCTCACCCGAGGACATTTTTCCATTTTTTGTTCAGGTAGAGTGGGAGGGAGAGAGAGGAACCGAGAGAGAGAAACATCGACGTGAAGGGACACATCGAGTGGCTGTCACACGCACAACCGACCAGGGCCGGGGACAAACTGCAACCGAGGTGCGCGCCCCCTTAGCGGAAACCGAACCCGGGTCTCTCAGGATCGCAGGCCAACACTCTAACCGCTGAGCCAAACCGGCCAGGGCTATTGGTACCTGAATTTAATACCCACTTATTCAGTGAGTGTTTAGTGAGCAACTACTGTGTGTCTGGCACTGGGCTGCCTGTCCCCAGGAGTGACTCCTCATGGGTGGTGATTCCAGTGTCACGGACAGTAAACAAGTTGGGGGCGGTAGGGAGAAGGCCTCAGGGATGCTGTGCGGGTGGCGTGAAGGCGGGGCCCAGGCTGCCTTGGAGCTGGAGTGGACGGAGGGGAGAGTGGCGATTCTCTGCCAGTAGTGAGCTCGGCTCATCGGCAGAGATTGGATTGGCCAAGAAGTCCAGTCAGCTCCTTACCAGCGAATGTGGGACGAAATGGGAGAGGAAACACGCGGAAAGGAGAGGTTAGCTGCCCAGGGAGTGACCAGGTCCGTTGCCATGTGTGAGTGCCCTCGCTGCCACGGCACAGGAGAGGTGACAAGCACAGAGGCCTTGCAGCCGGCAGGGGTGGGCCCGCTCCACAGGAGTGGCTGCTGCACCCTCGGCCTGGAGGGAGGCAGTGGAGGGAGGGAGATGGCTTTCCTGAAATGTTTCGAAAAGGACTTGTGTGTGAGGTTTCTCTCGCCCGGTTTGAAACGCTTCAGCGAATCCTTCTATTTGTAGCTTGCCAACACTTAAGGGAATTTAATCACATTTGTAAATGGTGTTAACGTTTAGGAGGAATTTAATCATGTCAAATACATAAGATAATTGAGCATTAATTGAAGAGCAAGCGAAAAGGGAGCGTTTTCCATTTTAACTAAAATATTTGTAAGTCGAGCTTGAAGACGGAAAGAAAACTTGTTTTTAGAGGTATAAATAACCTTAACAATTTGAGTACTAATTTGAGTACGTAATGAGAGGCCAGACTTGGGGAGGCCCTCCCATCCTGAGCTTTTCTGGTCCTGTTCTTCTGACCCCTTCGATTTTCCCTGGGTCCCCATACTACTGACATTTGGGCCTGGCCATTCCTGGAAGGACAGGGCTGTCCGGGCATTGGGGGTGCTTTGCATTCCTGGCCCTGGCCCACTAGATGCCAGTGAGGCACACTACGCCTCTCCCCAGCTATGACAACCCAGTGTCCAGACATTGCCAACTATCTTCTGAGGGGCAGAGTTGCCCCCGTTGGGGACCACTGCCCTCGGCACATTAGTCATAAAGAGGCCAAACTGGCGTCCGCTCTCGGTGCATGTGCACACGAGTGTGTGTGTGTGTGTGTTTTACTGAGGACGGCCCAGGAACAAGGGAGCACCACCCCCGAGATGCTGAGAGTACAAATGTTAATTGGCTGGGGGTTTGGAGTATGTGCAATTTCCATAAGTATGAATATTTATCAGCTAGTCATTTGAGAGCAGGATGTAAAGAAGCCATCTGTGGAGGCCTTTATGGAGAGAGAGGAGGCTTAAAAAATGTGCAAGAATGCTTATTTTTAGAGACCAATTCTCGGCAAGTTGGCTTTGTCCTCTGAAAGCTGCCCACTCTGGGCATCAAGAGCACCGTTGGGTTAGGAGACGCAAGTGCCATTGCTCCCAAATCACTGTCGTGAGAAGTGCAGCATTGGGGAGGCCAGGGAGGATGGCCAGGTGGGTGCTAAGGTTGTCTGCAATACTTAATTTTTGCATTTTTGGTGGTTGCTTGAATGAGTGACACCGGCATGTGACAGCAGTCACCAGGCAGGTGACAATGCGCAGCGGACTTGTCTTCTCCCTCTCCTCCCACTCGACCCCGGTCCTCTTTCCCAGGCTGTCACTCACACCTGTTTCTTCAGGCTCCTTTCTTGGGGTCGATTTTGGGTATCACACAAATGCTCTCGCTTGTGTTGTTTACCTTGGGACCCAGGCAAGATTCATTTTCACAGAGGGTCGTGTGCCAGCCCTGTCATTACTGGAGAAATCCAAATCAGAGTAAGTTATTAATGGCAGGAGCTTGGGCGAGTCATCAGCATGAACCTTCAGCAGAAAGGCTGGAGCGTAAGAGGCCCCGAGACCCGCGCCTTCTACTTCTGGATCAGATCGCGCTAGGCTCTCAATTCCTGCATGGCCAGCAGGTCTCTGCTCCGCTTTCTGTTCCCAGTTGTTTCTGCCGGTGGTGTTTCTGGTTCAGAGGTACTGATATGGAAATAGGTGTAGCCTGGCCTGTGCGGCTCAGTGGCTGAACATCGACCCAGGCCCCCGGGTTGGTTTGGTTCCCGGGCAGGGCAAGTGCTCCACCTGCAGACTCAATCCCCAGTAGGGGGTGTGCAGGGGGCACCTGATGCATGTTTTTCTCTCTCCCTTCCTCTCCCAGTAAAAATCATTAAAAACATATTTTTAAAAAAGAGAAAGAGCCCCACCTGTGTGGCTCAGTGGTTGAGTTTTTTTTTTTTTATCCTCACCCGAGGACATTCCCCCATTTTTTGTTCAGACAGAGCGGGAGGGAGAGAGAGAGAGAAACATCGACGTGAAGGGACACATCGAGTGGCTGCCACCCTCACGACCAACCAGGGCCGGGGACAAACTGCAACCGAGGCACGCGCCCTTAGCGGGAACCGAACCCGGGTCTCTCTGTACCGCAGGCCGACGCTCCAACCGCTGAGCCAAACCGGCCAGGGCTCAGTGGTTGAGCTTTAACCCATGCTCCAAGATGTCGCCGGTTTGATTCTTGTAAGGCACATGCCCAGCTTTCGAGCTCCATCCCCAGTGCAGGGCATGCAGGAGGCAGCTGATCGATGTTCTCTCTCATCAGTGTTTCTCTCTCTCCTCTCGCTAAAGTCAATAAAGAAAAATAGTTTAAAAAAAGAAAGAAAGTCCGGCCGGTGTGGCTCAGTGGTTGAGCGTCAACCCTGCACCAAGAGGTCTCCAGTTCGATTCCCGGTCAGGACACATGCCCAGGTTGTAGGTACGATCCCCAGTGGGGAGCATGCAGGAGGCAGCCAATCAATGTTCTCTCTTATCGGTGTTTCTCTCTCTTTCTCCTCCCTTCCTCTCTCTCTGAAATCAATAAAGGAAAAAAAAAAAAAGGTATATATATTGTGTCCCCAAGTGTTTGCATGTCCCTTTGGTGCTCTGCTACCTGTGGGGAATCGGACCTAAGAACCCTATGTTCGTCTGACCGACTGGCAAACAGTGGCCCAAGGTCCGTCCAGTCTGTCGCCTAAAAATAGCTTCTCCTTTCTCAAACGGTTGAAAAAAGAATACATAGCCCTGGCCGGTTTGGCTCAGCGGTTAGAGTGTTGGCCTGCGGTCTGGAGAGACCCGGGTTCGGTTCCCGCTACGGGCACGTACTTCGGTTGCAGTTTGTCACCAGCCCTGGTTAGTCGTGCGGGTGGCAGCCACTTGATGTGTCCCTTTCACGTCGATGTTTCTCTCTCTCTCTCTCTCTCTCTCTCTCTCTCTCTCT